CGTGGGGACTTGTTCTCTGGCGGGCAGCGAGAGATGTCGTCACCCCCTTGGCCGCGGTCGCGGTGCGTGCCCTTGGGCGCGGGGAACGCGTGGGGAGCCTGTTCGCAGGTTGGGGTGTTGTGGGTTTGTTTTGTTCTGTTTCGCAACGGATTTTTTCACATCCTGATCACCTTCCCGCTTTCAGCACGCCTCGGCGCAACTTAAAGAGTAGTTTTGGCCGCTGCTGCCTAGTCAGATGTTGGTTCTCGCACATAAGGTCTGCCTGTGGGTATAAAAGAGAAATATCTGAAGCTAATTATAGCTTCAGCTTCCAGAGATACACACCTTTTCCTTGAAATACTGGATTAGAAACCCCACACTGTAATAAAATGCTCTAGTACGTATGACCAAGTGTAATAGACTGTGCAAGATTGTTCTTGTAATGGACCGTGCTAGTGCTGAAATAATGTAGCTTTTGGCTTCTGTAAGTGCATGTAATTCTATGATAATCACACTGTAACCACAGGCATCTCAGACTGAGTTGATACTGTGAGCGCTGCTTTTGGTAGAAACAACTGCAGCAGTGCAGTGCAAGAACTTTAAATGTTGGGAAACAGAAACCGTGACTCAGTAGCTTTTTGTATGCATTGGATTTTTTTTGCTGAATGCATGGTTGTTGAGCTTTTTTGAATTTATTTCTGGCATGTGTAAGTTCTACCACAGTTAAAGTTACAGACTCTCTGTATATCTTAAACTGCATTTGAAATCACTTTAATAGTATATGTCCTTCATGAGCTAGAACAGTTTTCATATATGTTGCACAGCGTTTGTGTGAACTCACCTTATGATTGTGTGTTCAGTATACGTATAAATATGTGCTATGTGTATGCAGAAAGGGTAAGTTGGTAGAAAATCACATACAGCCTAGGATGAGATTTCTTTCTCCCCACTCCATGTATCTGATTCTTAAGAGAGATTTGTGTTTCTGGTAGCTTTTTGTGTTACTGGGACTTAAGATGTGCTCTGTTGAAAAAGCAGAGCAACACATCAAATAGAAAACATGAAGCTGATTTTAAACAGCTAATTCATTCTGTTAAGAAGTCCTGGGTGGTTGTAGGTGTGTTTGTGGGGAAGTGTTTCCCACTCAAAGTAGAACTGAAACTGAGATCTTTTAACTTCATAGATCTTGAAACTGGAGTAGAACGGTTTTCTTTATTTCCTCCAACTTAAACTTTGCACTTCAGAACGTCATGTAAAAGCTAAAGGTGAAAGTGGGTCTCTCATATTTTCTAGGTGTCAAGAACGTTTATCATGGAGTGCGAGTTGCCTGCTACGTGAGCCTTGAGGTCATTTCTCACATGCATATGGCAGCTGGTTTGCACTGAGGAGAGGAGTGTTTCCTTCTGCAGTAACCTAGTCCTACAACATAAGTATGTCTTACTGAACACCTAGTTTGCTTAAAACTTGGGAATTTGAGTTAATTCTCTGGAAACAAGTATGATTGTTTTCAAATGATGGTGATCCACTCTTGTCTCTGGCTCCCACCAACTAGACATTTGATACAAGAATCAATAATTTTTTTAACAGTTTTATATTTCACATGTAGTAAGAATCAAAATACATCTGAATGTGGAAGTGGCATTCTTGTGAGATTCCAGAAGTGCTTACTTTAAATTTTCGCATCGAGAAATATACAGTCCATTTGAAAAATATTGTTTGATGGTCTTTTAGTAGAGTGTTGATGTAGTGCTTAACCCATGAGGTAGATGCACGAAAGTGGAACTGTGTGCATGCAGATAAAGGTAACGTTTTTAGTTCCCTAAACAGTGATTAGCCTAACTATAACAGCACAAATGTTTTCTTACTTGTTTTAAATTGCTTCCCTAATTTAGAAGATAGAGGTAAGAAAGGTTGCCTGATGCTTCGCATTCATCCATTTAATCATAGGTTTATGGCCTTTTGGGAGGCTGATTTGTCTGTTTTTCTCCAAAGCTTATCTGTTTTAACTATTTTTTCCCATTCTGTCGTTTGTCTCTACCTTCAACAGACCTGTAGAATTTCTTGAGGTTGAGGGTGAGGAGCAAAGAAATCCTAGCCACACAAACCTGGTCTTTTTCAGTGAAGAAATTTGAGGAGGTTGTTTTTAACTTTTTGTTTGCCTTGTTTTATTTTTGAGAAGTTTTGGACCTCTGGGAACTTACTTTCTGGCAAGAGTAAATGACTTGTGCCTTTGTGTCAGAGATGTGCCGTTTGTTCTTCTGAAAGCATCTGCACGTTTTGCCAAATGCTGTTTGTTAAGCAAATGATCTGAAGAGTTGAAGCGACATCGGAACAAAGAGCGCTTTGAAATGTCAGGCAAAAGCAAGGAGTCCTGTTGTGGCAAAGCGTTATATGAAAATGAAATTTAAAGGTGTCATAGCCCACATATCTCTAAGGCCGAAATTATATACCTGCAGGCAACCTTGGTTTGATATGCCCTAGTCGAGCTCGATCTTAAAACACTGATAGTCTTTCAAGCTTTTAATTTGGAGAACTGTTACAAAAAGGATTTCTCTTGAGACTTAATTACTTTCTTAGACTGTACTGGAATAATTTTAATGGAATTTTCTTTCTCCCCCCCGCCCAGAATGATGAACACATGTAGAGGATTATCAGAACTGTGTGGAATTTGCATTTGATTTGAGAGCTTACAAAAGTGGTCATCATGGAGAAACAGCAGATTGTCCTGAGTAGCCGAGATGGTGGGACCATGTCTGGTGCAGCTCCTGCTTTTTTTGTCATCTTGAAACAGCAGCAGGGAAATGGTAAAGCTGACCAAGGAATCCTCGTAGCAAACCGTGACGCTTGTGCTCTTGCCAGCAGCGTATCAACTCCGATAGAATCCAAAGTCAAGACCTGCCTCCCAGCTGACTGTGTCTCAGGGGGCATTACCGTCACCCTAGATAACAACAGCATGTGGAACGAATTCTACCATCGCAACACGGAGATGGTTTTGACGAAGCAGGGGAGGCGCATGTTCCCCTACTGCCGATACTGGATTACAGGTCTGGATGCGTGTCAGAGGTACATCCTGGTCATGGACATATCCCCCGTGGACAATCACCGATACAAATGGAACGGCCGGTGGTGGGAACCCAGTGGAAAGGCAGAACCGCATGTTCTGGGGCGAGTGTTTATTCATCCAGAATCCCCTTCCACTGGCCAGTACTGGATGCATCAGCCAGTGTCCTTCTACAAACTCAAACTTACCAACAATACCCTGGACCAGGAGGGTCATATAATCTTGCATTCTATGCACCGTTATCTGCCACGACTTCACTTGGTGCCTGCAGACAAAGCCACAGAAGTCATTCAACTCAATGGCCCCGATGTCCATACATTTACCTTTCCACAGACAGAGTTCTTTGCAGTTACAGCCTACCAGAACATCCAGATTACCCAGCTGAAAATAGATTACAACCCTTTTGCTAAAGGGTTCAGAGATGACCCTCAGCGCGATGTGAAACAAAACCGTAACTCAGGATTGGAAGGGGGTGATATTTTTGGTGCTGCTAGCGTTCGTGGGCGCTCTGCTGAAGTTGACGCGTTAGAAGTACACCAGAGAAGTTTAGTTTCTTCGTTCATCGGTCAAAACCCATCAGACATTGATCTGGACAAAGAGTCCTTTAACGCAGAAAGGGACTTTCTGAGTTTCCTGGACACTGACCTGTCTGCGGGTGATATGCCAAAGCTAAAACAAGAAGTTTCTGAAAGGTGGGTTAACATTCTATTTTTAGCATAATTACTGGTTGAGTGGAGTGTTTGGTAAAACATGAAGCAATAGGATGGATGTTTAATATAAAGATCTATGGCTAAAGGTTGGCTGATGTGAAATGCGGAAGAGTTAGTATTATTAAAAGCTTTTCTCTGCTTAAACAGTCATCTATTAGTCTGGTCTTTCTGATATGTCTGAGGTGTGTGAGAATTCGTTATTTTTTCCCATGTTGCTTTAACATCCCTTGTAAAGAGGTGTTAAAGGATTTCCCTTAATCCTCATAGCAGTTTAGAAAACTAAACTTTTCAGAGTTTTAAGCAGAGCACATTGCAGTCATCAAAACATTGCCTTTCTTTTTAGGATTGCTTCCAACAGTGACGCGCTGTCTCTGTATCTTCAGTTTGCATTAGCAGATATGTGGCGTGTGTGCATATGTAGGTCGGACACGTGTAAAAAAAATGGCAGCGTGCCACTGGTTTGTCAATAACTGCTTGTATGAATTCTTTCATTCCACAGAGTGACGTGAGGTAGCCTGCCTGTTGGTAGTCACTTGCCTCATGTTCGCTGTGAGGTAAGGGAAGCTGCACCTAGGAAAGTACTTCAGAATGGTTGTTACCCTGCTCAAACCTTAATTTACTCTGTGGTAGTTTTATGTCTACTACTTACCCAGTATTCACTTTTTGAGTCATTCTGTTCACAGCACACAAACAGTAGTAAAGCAGTCCAGTGTATATTGAGGGCCTATTTATAGTATGGAAACTGCTAACCAGTAAGTTTTCATGTTGGTAAAGCAAGCCTGGTGAAAGTTTCCAAAATCTAAGCAATACAATAGAGCAGATTTAGTGAGCAGTCAATCTGTGTCAAGAGATGCCGAGAATACTTCGAACCTGAAGTGGTCTTTTTTTTTTTTTTTTCTTTGAAAAAAAGAGGGTTATCTCCTGCTGTATTTCTTCGTGTCTGTCTGTGAATACCAAACTTAATCTGCCAAAGTTTGAGTGGCAGAAGCAGCCTTACTTACATCAGTGCACCAAGAAATTATTTAATTACAGAATATCAGGATGATGTTAATGATTTAATTACAGGTCAGCTCGTAGAGGAAAAAAATAGTTGTATTTATATCATAACTAGACATTTTATTTCAAAGGCTGTACTAGTGTGTTCTAGAGTAGACAGAGATTTTCTTGGTTGTTTTTTCCTTGCAGAAAGCATGTCCTTGCCTTCTGAATAACTGAAAAACTTCAAATTACAGGGTTCTCCATTCTTGAGGCTTTATTGAGTTTAGTTATATGTAATTCTTAGGAATGTTAGAATTATTTGGGATCTGCAGTGCTCTAACCTTTCTTTGCAGTGTTTTCCAGTGTCAGTTAGGAAGAAGAAGATCTTCTAGACTTCTTACACTCTCCAAAAATGTTGTTGTAAATTCTAGAGAAACCCATCTTGAAGACTGAAACTCCACTGATTTCAGAGAGGATGGACTTTCTTTAGTTCTAAGAATACAGCATTGAGAAGTGTTTAGGTAACTTCACATATTAGAAGCAAACCACTGAAACTCTGAAAATAATTACTGGGAAATTTATTTTGTCTTCAAAGTGATTTTCTTTTTTCCTCCTTGGGGTCAGATGCAGTTGAAAAAGTTCATTTTTATAATTTTATTAGCTTGAAGAGGATCATTGACGCAAGTTATTTGGAGAACTGTTTGAATTAGACAGCTTAGGGTTTTTTAGTTGCCTGCATTCTCGAGGAATGAAAACAATCATTTTACAGACTCGAGGACCTTCCGTAAGAACAGGTGAGGCATACTGGCAGACTTAATTTCTTCTGATCCAAAGTCCGTTAGATACCTTCCATGGTTTCACCCCCAAGACCATTTATCTCTGAAATGTGCCAAAAGCTGCACAGGGAAAAGACTATAAAGGGTTTTTCTCTAATCTGGGCTTGGAAGCATCTGTCATTTGATGAATAAATGTTACCACAGCCCTAAAACTGCCCTCAAGCATTGTCCAGCATTTCATTTTATGTTTTATATAATCTGTGTGAAAAAGTCAGGGTCTGTGCTTGGAAAGAGAAAAATCGATCTCATCCAAGAAATGACAGAACTGCCTTTTCACATGCAGGAATTTTTTCAGAACATTAGTTCTTCTTATTCCTTCGGATCTTTTCACAGTTTTCATGCCAGATAGTTGAACTCCATTCATAAATATGTCAGCCTCTCAAGGACCGTGTTGAGTGAGTGGCATTTTTTATGAAACTAGACACTTCAGTACTTCCATATTAATGAAGACTGGGCAAATAATATTATTTTTTTTTGTCATAGGCAATCTATATTACTGGTAGCTGATAGACACTATCTTGCTTTTAAAGCAGGGCAGTGATTTCTGCAAAGTTTAGATTTGAGTGAGATTCAGAAGCTGGAAGCTGCTACCTCTAGGATAATGCTCACTAAAGGAAGTGGGGTTCCTAGTGCAGTAGTGCTTGGTATTTCTCACCAGTGCTCAATTTTTCTGACATTTTTGAGAATGGAACTATGTAAAGGTTGCATATACCTGAGAATAATTTTAATCTTGAGTTATTAGTGCACTTCAGAAACAAAGGACTTATTTTCTTTACACAGGGTAATATAGTTTTCTTTCTGTGGCCTGGTGGTAGTATACCTAGTGTGTATTGTAGTATACTTAGGTGTATTGTAAAGAAAATAAATACTTAGAGTTGTGGGCACTTGTATAGGAATGCTTGTGCTTGAAACTACTCAGATGTTGGGGCCTTGGATAGAACCACAACCACACTTTACTGTTTTTAATTCTTCCAGGCTAATGTACCTTTTCTCCGTTCCAAGGTCTTCTGAATTTCCTGCTTCAAATATACAAATACTGTGGGATTTTTAATGCTCCAATAATCTTGCTTTTTTAATTTGGTTGTCTTGCATTTAGTTTGACAGTTTACTTTTCTGCCCTCCTTGCCTTCCTTTTGGAAGATTAATAGATTGCTAGATGAATTCCAAAAGAAATCTCAGATTTTCTCCCTTAAGCATGTCCTCAGTGTACACAAAGCGGAAACAGCCTCTTCCTCCATGTCTTCCCCTGCCTCGATCCCAACCCAGGATTCAACTGAGCGTGGTCATTCTTCATAGGTGAGGGGAGATGGGCAATAATAACGAAGTACAGACATAAATGCAATATATAAAACAATATTCCTTTTACATATAATATACTGGTATTACAGTTATGTTAAGTTGTATTTGTAATTGTGTTAACATTAACTAAAATTCATAGAACATGGCATGTTTTGGGTTGGAAGGGACCTTAAAGATCATCTAGTTCCACCACCCCCTGCCATGAGCAGGGGCACCTCCCACTGGACCAAGTTGCTCAGAACCTCATGCAGCCTGGCCTTGAACACCTCCAGGGATGAGGCATCCACAGCTTCCCAGGGCAATCTTTTCCAGTGTCTCACCACCCTCAGAGAAAATAATTTCTAATATCTGAACTAAGTCTGCCTTCTTTCTGTTCAAAGCCATTAGCCCTTGTCCTGTCAGTGCACTCTTTTCAGAATCCCTCCCCGTCATTCTTGTAGCCCCATTTAAGTACTGGAAGGCTGCTGTAAGGTCTCCCCAAAGCCTTCTCTTCTCCAGGCTGAACAGCCCCAACTCCCTCAGCCTCACAGGGGAGGTGCCCCAGCTCTCTGATCGTCTTTGTGGCCTCCTCTGGACCTGCTCAAACAGGTCCATCTTCTTCTTATGTTGAGAGCCCCAAAGCTGGACACAGCACTGCAGGTGAGGTCTAACAAGAGCAGAATAGAGGGGCAGAATAACCTTATTTGACCTGCTGGCCACGCTTCTGATGCAACTGAGGATGCATCTGGCTGTCTGGGCTGGCTCATGTTCAGTTTTACATCTAGCAACACCCCCAAGTCCTCCTCCACATGGCTGCTCTCAGTCCACTAACAACCCATTAAAAATGTTATTGTTCTTAATAACATAAGGTTAACATTTTGGATAGTAATTGAATATAATTAAAATTATATGTAGTGTCTTATAAATTACATATAAAGGCATTATTGGAATACTGTCTGATATGTTGTCATGTTTTTTCCCTGGCTGGAGGCCAGGTACCCACCACAGCTGCTCTGTTACTTCCCCTTCTAAGCTAGATGGGGGAGAGAAAATGTAACAAAGGGCTCATGGGTGGAGATAAGGACAGGGAGATCACTCGAAATTACTTTCCTGGGCAAAACCGACTCAACGTTGGGGAATTTAATACAATTTATTAACAATCAAATTAGAGAAGGGCAACGAGAGGCAAAATCAACTTTAAAATAGCACCTTTCCCTCACCTTTCCCTTCTTCCTAGATTTAACTTTACTCTCAATTTATTCACTGTCTCCCCCTGAGCAGAGCAGGGTTGTGAGGAGTGGAGGTTGAGGTTGTGTCATTAGATGTTTCTACTGCTCCGTCTTCCTCATGGGGAGAACTCCTCACTCTTCCCGTGCTCCAGGGGTTCCTCTCACAGGAGACTGTCCTCTCACAAGAGGCAGTTTTTGACAAACTGCCCCAACATGAGTCCTCTCCTTCTCCTAACTGCCCCAGGGTGAGTGCCCTGTGGGGTTACAGGTCTCGCCAGCAAACCTGCTCTGGCATGGGCTCCTCTCTCCACAGGTCCTGCCAGGAGCCTGCTCAAGCACGGGCTTCCCATGGGGTCACAGCTCCCTTCAGGCATCCACGTGCTCTGGCATGGGGTCTTCCAAGGGCTACAGGTGAACATCTACACCCTGTCACACCCATGGGCTGCAGGGGCACAGCCTGCCTCACTGTGGTCTTCACAACAACTCAGGGGGATTTCTTCTGCTCCAGCATCTAGAGCACATCCTCCCGGTCTTCCTCACTGGACCTGGTGTCTGCCTGTATTCTCATCCCTCTCTCTCTCTCTGCAAGTTGTGGTGCGGTTCTTTTTTCCCGCTTCTTAAATAATGTTATTACAGGCGCATCGCCACCATCGCTGCTGGGTTCCACCTTGAACAGCGGCCGGTCTGTCTTTGGGGCTGGCTGGCATTGGCTCCATGGGACCTAGGGGAAGCTTCGAGATTCGAGCGGCTTCTTCGAGAAGCCACTGCTACAGCTCCCTTGCTACTGAAACGTGGCCACGCAAACCCAGTCCATATGTATAGGAAATAGTTTCTGACTATTGTTTTCTGAGATTCATTGTGGTTATAAGGTTCTGTTTTCATGTCTTAGCTGTTTCCTCTTATGGTGAGATGCCAGTTTCTCATTTGCTTAACTAAACTTCTGTCTGCAATTTTTTGACTGTTGTATCTGTCGCTCCCTTGCTACTGAAACGTGGCCACGCAAACCCAGTCCATATGTATAGGAAATAGTTTCTGACTATTGTTTTCTGAGATTCATTGTGGTTATAAGGTTCTGTTTTCATGTCTTAGCTGTTTCCTCTTATGGTGAGATGCCAGTTTCTCATTTGCTTAACTAAACTTCTGTCTGCAATTTTTTGACTGTTGTATCTGTCCCTCAAAGATGCCCATCACTGGAGTGTAACTGGATGGACCTTTAGTTTCCAGTATCTATTGCATGCTTAGGTTGACACTCAGACTTAGTGGAAGATGGAGCATAATTCAGTAGGTTATTAACATTCTGTAAGCGTTCAAACAACAATTGAATTTAGGAATTGTTTGTATGTGGCTTCAGGATGAATTAACTAAAATTTTAGTTAAATCATGTCAACAGAAGTGCATTAAGCACTTGCTTGGCTTCTTTGTAAGCACAATGGCTTTAGTACAGTGACTTAATGAGATACACAGCAAACTAAGGCCCCTTCTGAGTAGTTAAAACATGATAGCTTAGCATGAGTTCATGCTGAGTCTCACACAGGAAAAAGTGCAAATGTCACTAGGGAAGGAAATTGTGCTGCTGCCTTCAGATAAGAAGTTGGATTGTTTTTAACGATGGCAATTTTTTTTTTTAGCACTTCTGAAAATGTAAGCTCATAACCGACAGCTTATTTAACAGACTTAAGTCTCGGAGTATTTTGGAAATTTTTTATAATATGTAATCAAGGGTTATGGGAGGTGATGAACTTTTGGTAAAGGAAGAAGTGAGATAAAGATCTTGTGCTTTGGTTTTGTCTCCTCTCTCCCACTCCAGTCCCATTGCTAGCAGTTACGAAAGCAGTTCCCGTGTGGCATCCCCACTGGACCCGAATGGACACTTTAATGTAGTTGTTAAAGAGGAGCCAGTAGATGACTATGACTACGAGTCGAATATTTGCACCCAAGGAATAAGTGTGAAGCAGGAAGACACAGATGAAGAAACTGATGAGTATTCCAACACTGATGAGGATGATCCCATCCTACAAAAACGCTTGATGAGACGCAACGAAACAGAGGGAATTGATGGAGAATTCAGGTCTAGGAAGCGTGGGCTAACCTCTCCTTCAGGTGTTGCCAAAGCAAAAATGTTGAAACTGGAGAGCGGGAAGATGCCTGTGGTCTATTTGGAACCTTGTGCAGTGACAAAGAGCACGGTGAAGATATCGGAGCTGCCACAGACCATGCTGTCCTCTACCAAGAGGGAAAAATCCCCTTTGAGTTCAATACTGGATTCCTTGCCTGTGTGTTTTGAAAATCACAAAGGCTCTAGCTCAGACACAGCCACTGTAACTGAGGAGCTAGTTCTGAGAAAACAATCCTCTGGGAGTAGAATGTCGCAGAAATACTCTTCCATAGGATTGACCCCGTGGGCTCTATCTAAATCATCTAATTTTAATCTCAGGAGCTCACTAAGTTGTCAGTTTTCAGCTAAGGAGATCTGTGGAAGAAAAAGGTCTGGCATACTGAAGAATCCTATGTCCCTGAGAGGCTCTGGTAGCAATCAGAACACCTTATCAGTTACAACTAAAAGAGGAAGGCCACGGAAACTGAAAATTTCCAAGGCTGGTCGACCACCTAAAGGCATAGGGAAAACTGTAATAGCGAGCAAGAACGCCTCGCTGGGGCCTGGGAATATCCTTCCAGATGTTAAGCCAGACCTTGAAGATGTTGATGGAGTTCTTTTTGTGTCCTTTGCATCAAAGGTAAAACCTGCTTTGAGTAAAATTCAAAACCTTTTATAATGTCTCATTTTTAAGCCCTTTGTACTTGCAAGCTGAATATGTATTTTCTTTTAAACTGAGCTTTGACATTTATGACCTCTTTCCAGAGCTGTTTGTATCTTGTCCCTGTGCTAATCATAACATTTTCTTACTTGTTAGTAACCTGGGGGAGAATAGTGGGATCTAGAGTTCTGTATAAAAGCACATAGGCTTTTATTTATTAATTACTTATTTATTTGTTGAACGATCTCATGTTTTGAATATTGCGTTGATAATTTGATGTGGCCTAGTTTGCATCTAAGTCAGTGTTTTGAAGTATTTTACACTTACTCAAGGCTCCTTATATATGTAGGAAGCTCTTGACATTCACACTGTTGATAGAGTTGGAGGAGAAGAGCCGCAGAATCTTCAGGCTCCGTTGTTGAATACAAATGATCCAGGTACTTTTTCGTTTTTTTTTTCCTAAGTGCCTGTTCCCTGCAATAAGGGAACTTTTAAGACACACTGGAAAATTAATCATTTAAGTAATTTTGTGTTGCGTGGTAAATATTTTTCATGTGTTCTTTTTCTTTTTTTTTTCTGAGCAGATTGTCAAGCAAGAATACAAGTACTGGAAAAGGAATTGATGGAAGAGCTGAAGACCTTGAGGCATAAGCAAGTAATACATCCTAGCCTTCAGGAAGGTGAGCGGGCTGTGCACATGTTGTTGCACCTGGCTGTATTACACTTAATCAAACTGAGCTGATAATTTCCTACTGGATGTAGTCCTGTGTATGCCCAGTACAACTGGGATCTGATTATGGTTATTTATTTTTTCAAACGCAGGCAAGTGTACAGGGATGAATGCACAGATGTGAGAATACGAAAGGAAATTTTTTTTTTTTTTTTTTGAGAGTTTAAAAGTACCTTTGGTCGACCAATAAAGGTGTTTGTTTTTTTTTTTCACTCATTAATGTTGCAAGCTAGAAGGCACTGAGGAGGCAAAAAGATGAATCGTGAATCTCCAACAGGAGAGCAAGAGGTTGCATGTTATTGTTTGCCTCTTGCAGGAGATGCTGAACTTTCGCACTTCAGGCAATGCCTGTGTTGTAATGAGCTAATCCCTGTAGAGAGCAGACAGAGTTGATTTTACTCCTCCATAGAAAATCCCCATTTCCTGTTAGTAGAGGAGCTAGAGATTTAGAAACACTTAACTAAGACTGCATTTGATATGTTTGAGTCCATATTTCTTTGAGCCATTTGTAGATCTAGGTTCGCTAGCCACATAGGAGGGCCCAGCAAGGTAATTATAGCTTGTGGTCTTTCATTTATGTAACATATATCATGAGGTCAGATGGAAGAAAGTTAAGGATCAACACAGCATCAGTTAGTGTTCTCTCTACTGATGATGTTGAAAGTCTTCAGCAAGAGTGGTCCTGAGACCGACGGCATTACCTTAGACATCAGAGCAGATGATGAAAAAATCAGTTCAAATGGAAGTGATGTACCTCATGCTCTCGAGGTTCTGAATTTTTCAAACATGTTAACTGTAGTGCTGTAGAGATTGAGACTTTAGATACTGTTCTTGACTCTGATACTGGTTATTTTGGGTTATTTTGACCTCTACTGTGAAGAACCCTGAATTATCTTGAAGGACTTGTGCACAGGCTATGATGAGAACTAGCCTGTCACTTTTTTGCAGCCATTTAAAGGGGTGGCTTTGGCTTTGTGTCTTGCTGGTGTTGAGTTGACATTCCTGTCTTCCACCTTTGCAAAGTAAGGATGGTGGCAGAGACCTCATAGAGCTCTGGTGTGAATGTGGTGGGAGTGAAACAAGATAACCCATCTCCAGCCAGGTTGTACCGCAGTGGTATAGCATCAGCATTCACAGCTGTATCATGGATGTCAAAATGCAGTTTCCCCCTCCCATGATTCCAGAAGTTGGCAACCCTGTTCTCTAATGACCGCAGCTTCCAACCTGCCCTCACAGGTCTGTGTGTGTTGTCATATTTCGAAAATGGTGGTAAAATCCTGTTTGTGGTCAGCTGCTGGCAGTGCTGGGTACAACAAGAAGTAAATGTTAGAGCAATATTAAAATTTTTAGAATTGCATTGTGGGCCTCCTAGATGTTGCCTTTACCCAGGGCAAGTATAATAGAATTATGGTGTATTGACAACCATGTGGTATTTTGGCAACTGCAACACCAGCGAGGGCTGGTGTACTCATGAGATGATCCTATAGCTGGACACATGTAAAACCTACGTGCTTTTCCTCCAGCTTCTAAGGGAGTGATGGTGAAGTGTGTGGTACTTCCTGAAGGGTATTGAGCAATTCACAGATACTACAAAATGGACAAGAATAGTCAAGCATCAGGCTAAGAAAAAGAGATTCTCTCAAAAGAGAATTTTTACTTTCTGGAGTGCTCGCGACCATCATTTCCAGTGTTGGGTTGCAATCTGCTGAGCCTGTTAAATAGTGAAATTGTAATTCAGCAGTGAATTACAGTCTAATTTTTAGAGGGAAAAGAAGTTACGTGAAGTCTATTCACAGGAAGAGCCTTACTGCAAATAGATACGGATGTAGATTGATCAGGTTGTGAAGTGAGTTACAGTATGTATACTTTTCTTGTTAGACTTTGTTGCAAGTGTACTGGAATCAATCTTTCAGCTTCCAGGAGTTACAGATCTTTATTCACCTTCCAAAAAGTTACAGATCTGTTGCCTTCTGTTGCAGACTTGAGATCAGAGAAGGAGCACAATGAAGTTAATGGAGAGACAGATTGCTGGGATGTTTTTCTTTTCTCTCTCTCTCTTTTCCCCCATAATCTCATCAGTAAGACATAAGGTGGCGAGTGGGGAGTGTCTCTGAGCCAAACTTGAGGGTTCTATCTTTTTCCAGACATACTGATTCTCAGCAGCCTCTTGGAGCATAGTGATGCCTTCTTAACCTTCTTCGTTCACTTGTTCTCCAAAATTTCTTGACCACAGCTGATGACTAATATCCCCTCATCACCTACTACAGAACAGGCAAAGAGACATCCCTTCTCTCTCTGGAAGATGTGAAGTGCAGGTTTCTGTATGTGCTTTCAGCTGTTCTGTGGAAGTTTACCAACTTTCTTGTCCTTGCACCAGCATGGGAAATGGACATAGCAATTTTGATGTTAAGTCTGCTTTTGGGTTTGGACAACATAGCTGAGAAGCTTGAGTTTCTTGAGATTCACTGATGTGTTGGAGCTGTTCCTAAACCCTGGAGTTGGTATTGATTTGTGAAGTTAAGAAAACTATGATTGAGGGTATGTAGATCTTAGAGGCACCAGGACTGCCACAAGATGCTTCAGAAAGAAGGGAATTCAACTTAACCATGTTAGAAGGAAAGTTCCTGCTGTAGTACTGCAGTGCTGTGGGATGCCTCTTGTGTCTGAGCTCATTTGAATCGCTTGTATTCCTGAAAATCAAAGGCACCGTTGTCATGCATCATATTTCAGATTTAGCAGCTGCATCTGATGGAGAGGAGAAGGTTCTTAAGGTTCTTAATTTGCTACTGTTTGATTACAGCGCAAGTTCACCTGTCATATATGGTGATGTCGTGACTGACATAAAACTGTTAGCAGTTTTTCTCTTTAGACTGTCTGTGTTCTTTTCATGTTGTGCTTGTTGGAGTTATGCTCTTGTATTTTGTACTTTGTGATCGTAAAGAAATATATTTGTGTATGGGTGATGTTCTTAGTTTTGTTTGAGTGTTAAACAAAGCTAGGCTTGTTTTTGAAGTGGCAGAAGAATTCAAATGGAGTGTCAAGAGAATAAACCGTGTACTCCTTCCATTTTCTCTTTAAAAGAATTTGAAAAGAAATACATGACATCTTGGCATTTTGCAGTTGACATGTTTTTATACAAAATGCTAGATTGACTTGCTTACTGTTCATTTTCCTTATGTAGATTTGAAAATTATATCTCACTAGACTGTTTTTGATAATGGTATCTGTTTAAACAAACATGTCTTGAGATTTGCTACACATCACTTGTTTTGCGACTGCCAGTAATCGGGTCCCCATGTCGCCACTTTTGAACATAAATGTGTACCACCAGCACAAGGTTTCTGCTGTATGTACAGATACTGCTTAATGTGTCTCGAGCCTTGTCAAGTCATACGTTTTCAATTTCAAAACTTACTTATTTAATGTATGAATTTCAGACTTGTTGGCAACGGGAGCAGTATTAGTAGGTTTCTGTAGCTAAAAACCAAAACAGATGTTCACAACTCCAGACTGAGCTGAGTTTTATTGGCAACAGTTATTTCTTGAATTCAGTGTAGCAGTCTTTTCTGAAAAAGGTACTAAGTCAAATTTACTAGCTTCTTTTTTTTATCAGCATTTCTTAGTTGATATTGTTTTACCATGGATAGAAGTAGCTTTTGTGACTGAGTGAAGTCTTCAGTTTGAGTATTTTGGAGGAATTGGTGAGGAAAGATGTTACAGGCAGTTAAGCATTTGTGGTGACATCAACAACATGGATTGGTTAATTACTTTATATCTCCCCCCCCCCCGCTAAAAAAAAAAAAGTGTTTCATTGCAAAGTGCCAAGCCTGGAAAAAAATAATATACCAAGATCTGGATAATTTGATGAACTAGTCATGAGAGAGCTGTGAGAATACAACTTTATCATAGTTTCCAGACACACACAAACGCTTTGATTTAGAAGCCTTTTGCTCTTGTCTCTTATTGCTGGTAGAAACTGAAGAGCGTGCGGTTTATGGTCTTGCACAAGAATAGCTTAGAGCAGAGAAGGGGATATTGAGTATGTACGTACTGCTGGCAGGATTGGTAGTTTATGTAGTGGTATGTGAATGTCAAATAGCTGAATTGAGGTCAACCAGTTAACGGTGCTAACTTCTTCTCTAAAAATGGTGGGTGAATGGTAGAAAAGCCTGTGTATAACTTACTGGTTTATTTTTTAGTAAATGACTTGATTTTTCCTAACATCTTGCTGCATTGAGGCATTTACTGATATTTCCTCTTGTAGTGGGACTCAAGCTGAATTCTGTGGACCCAACAATGAGCATTGACTTGAAATACTTGGGTGTGCAGCTTCCTCTTTCCTACTCAAATTACTCTTTGTGGAGCTATCCGGGAACCAATCCCAATTCTCCAGGTGGGTAGAATCTGAATTTGCTGAAATCTCAAGTATTACCTTTTTATTATCAACAGTTAATCGAGGAGGGAATGGCCATTTAATTGAACTTGATATCTCAAAGAGATTAAAGAAGTATTAAACTGGCAAAATGTGAAAACTTCTTTAAGTCATTATGTGGTTGCCGAATAATTCTGGCCAGATTGTCTTCAGCCTTCCCTTTTTGTGATGATTGTGATCCAGTACTAGTATCTGTCTAGCTTATTTTATACCTATGTGTTCTGTCTGTTAGAACTGGCTTTTCTACATGTAAGTGTACACATTAACTACTCTCAGATTGCTCAGAAAAAGCCTGCATTTCCCAAATGATGTTCATATGTAAAACAAACAAAAAAAAGTTGTCTTTCAGAACTGAGTATCAGAACTTTTCAGAAGAAGAGCTTGAGGCTCTGCTTGGACACTAGCCCAGTGAGAATTATTTATTACAAAAGTGCTGACAGAGTGCTTTTTTAAACCTAGTTGGTATCCAGACAAGGGCATTTCTCGTTATGATTCTCATACTCTTGGTAGATACTGTTTTTAATAATAAACAGTTGGACGAAGTACAGGGGTGCTTAATCTTGCCCTTACTTGCCTCTTTCTCCTACTTTAATATTCTGATTACTGTGTCTTTATTAATCTGCTGCTTCTGGGAGCTGGTAAAGAGGCAGATGTCAGATCTCAGCTTTGTTTACACTGTAAAAGAGGCAGTTTTGATTCAGAAAACATCAGTCAGCTCAGTGAAATGCGATTATTTCTAGCCCAGCAATATGTATAACAGCCTCACAAATCCCTGCTAGAGTTTTTACATTCCAGCTGAGCTCCCAGAGCTGATGGATAACTTAACAGTTGTCACTGTTTGCCTTTTGTGATTATTCCCTGTTGCTGCCCCTAACTGATACTCGGCTGAATTTGACAGAACAGCAAACATTACATGAAGTTTCTGTGAGTCTTGTAAAAGTCATTGGCTCAGTTGACTCAAATTACTTTTCTCGCTGAGAGAGATTGTAGTATCAAAACCTGCCTGTTCCATTTTAGCTTCCTAACTACCTGGTTTTCCCGATTGAAGTTTGGAATCAACTCCTTGCGCCATGGTGAAGGAGACTAAAACTGAAAATACAGAAGGCATCTTTCATATGGGATAGCAGATGCATGGCCTTACAGCAGAACTCTCCAGGAAGCCTGGCTTTGTTAAGTGTTCTGTTAATGAGAAAAAAAAATTAAAAGTTAAAAATCAAGTCTCTTTATTCAGTTTTTTTATTTACTACTATTCATCTGTCTCTGAAGAGGAATAAGCAGAGCTCGCTCAGAGCAATCAAGCTGAGTTCATAAACTGAGACGAGCTTTCTTCTTTTCCAGATACTGGATTTCCTTTTGTTTCCAGGACAGGAAAAACAAATGATTTCACAAAAATCAAAGGCTGGCGAGGGAAGCTTCATGGTGCTTCTAGAAATGAAGGTAAAAAAGAAAGAGATCAGTGTACATCATTCCAACACTTGGCCTTTTCTTGACCTTCCATAGATCTTGCAGTTTGGTAATTGTGTCTTAATGAGATATTGGGTTGTTACATTGAAACTGTCATGACTAAAAAATTTTCTGGCACTGCTTTTGTGGTAGGAATGGAGGTTTATGAGGAAAGAGAGAAACTTACTTTGAGTGAGATGAAAATACATGTGTTCTGTTTTGCACAGAAGGCTTGATTGAAGATCAAAGCTGTAATAGTTTTAGTTTTGTTTGTCAGTTGTGAGTTTATTTGCAAGTATGGTAATACCAGGATTCTGTTGCCCCAGGGACATTTAAGGAACTAAAATAATTCTAATGTATATTGGTGTATTTTTAACTCCAGTTAGAGTAGATATTTGTTACAGATTTGATTACTTTGCCTCAGGGAGAAATGGGTATTGGGCAAGTTGCCAGTTTTTACTTTAAATTTAGATTAAATATTGTACGTTCTGCACTTCCATGCAGTGTTTTGTTGGTATGTTCCAGTTACACTGTGGTATACCAGCTAGGCTAGGTGTTCACAACAAACAGAGTAAGTTGCACAGAAGCACTGCCTGTTGAAGCCTTTCTGGTTTTGTGAATAAATACATCTGGAAAAGCACCACAAAAGCAGTTGTTCGGACATCTAGTTGTGTTTCCGAGTGGATTGTATTTGGTGTGCCTGTGTTGTACTCTGCTAAAAGAATCATATATATTTTTTTGAAAGGTGTTTACCTCTTCTGTATTGTTTAATTATTATAAGATTTGTCAGTATATTTTCCCAGGAGCTAGTTAAAGTGCTCTCTGTTTATTTAGGTGGCAGTTCAGAAGGTTCCTTGAAGAATCGCTCAGCGTTCTGTAGTGACAAGCTGGATGAGTACCTGGAAAATGAAGGGAAGCTGATGGAAACAAGCATGGGATTCTCTTCTAGCACTCCCACTCCTCCTGTGGTGTATCAGCTTCCCACTAAGAGCACTAGCTATGTGCGAACACTTGACAGCGTTCTAAAGAAGCAGTCCACCATAATTCCATCAACATCTTACACGTTCAAGCCCGTTTCTCTGTCATCTACCTCTAGGAAGACAAAGGGTCAAAGCAGACAGAAAAATAGAATGAAATCGTCTTACAAACCCATACTGCCGTCACCTTATTCTGGAAGACAGAAACAGAACTCTGCAGGGGAAAGGGCAGCGAAGTCTGTCTCAAACAGTAGTTTGAATAATCAAGGGGATAGTTTTGTGACGACAGCTCTGGAGGAGAACGTGCTTCCAAAACAGATCAGCCTGCGCCAAGCACCACAACAGCACCAAGCATCTCGTCCGCCCGGTTTGTCTAAATCTCAAGTGAAGTTAATGGACTTGGAAGACTGTGCTCTCTGGGATGGCAAACCACGCACGTATATTACAGAAGAACGAGCAGACATCTCTCTGGCAACCCTGCTTACGGCTCAGGTAGTTGTGTCGTAGTTTCTTGCTTTTCTGTACTGTTGCTTTTCCACTTTTTGATGTTTCATATAGATGGAGAAAGTTAAGACTGAGGGTGCTAAGGAGCATGACAAACCGTGATGGTCCTTTGTGGTGTGGTCTTTGCAGTGGAAGTTGAGAAGTGCTGACCTTAGCAGTATGTGAAAAAAAACAGCTGTGATAATAGTGTGTTGATAACACTCATTCATAATTGGAGTTATCTCAAATTTTCACTGTTAAAAAAATCTGGTTAGTACAGTTGCTATTGAGTAACTGCATTTCCTTACTATTTGTCACTTTGGTTTTTTTAAGTTGAACTAACTACAAAAACGCCTGGTCATGTAACTTGGTTGTGACATGGTTACCTCTTCTGCTTTCTTCACGTTCTAGTTATTACCAAGCTGGTTTAGCTGTTTCCAAGCAAACTCTCCTCTGTTCTAGGTTTGTTTGTTTGCTGTTTTTCAATATAGGTGAGAAATTTTCATAGGTACACGATTTAGTTGAGGGGCATTATTCTTCGTGAACTTGTAATAGCAAATTTGCACACACTTTATTTAATCTTACTGAAATTTGAAGTGTATAACTTACTTAAAACTTTTCTTAGGCTTCTCTCAAAACCAAACCTATCCACAAAATAATAAAACGACGAGCACCTCCCTGCAATAAGGATTTCTGTCGCCTGGGTTGCATATGTGCCAGCCTGGCACTGGAGAAACGTCAGCCTACACACTGCCGCAGGCCGGACTGTATGTTTGGTTGTACTTGCTTGAAGAGAAGAGTGTTGCTGGTGAAGGGAGGATCAAAACATAAGAAAATGATGAAAAAGGCAGTGCGTGGAAATCTGGTGCTCTATGGAACACAAGACGAACAGCAGGAGGATGAAGATGCGGAGGAAGGGGGTGATGGGGAGGAAGATGAGCTGAAGCAGAAAGATAGGAGGAAGAGAAAAAGAGTGGAATACAGTGAGTATTGCTGGGCGATAGTGATTACTTACATTCTTATTAGCACGTAGTAGTGATGACATTTTCTAAATTCAGAAACTGGGAGTGAATTCCAAGAGATGGCTGCAAAATCTGCTTTCATATGGCTGACTAGCAGGAAATAACACCCTTTTAAAATATTTTTTTTAAAAAAATTTAATTTTACTTTTTTTTTTCCTCTAACTTATCTGGTGAGCAGTTAAGGCACTGCTTAGTTGTTTATATTGATTAAATACCTGGAGTTTCTTTTTGATAGTTTAAGTTCTTGCTCAACTCTCCCAAGTACCTTTAAAGACAAAGGATGTGAGATAATTAGTGCTGTCACTGCTGATAATCTTCACCATCGTAGTGCTGTGTTTTTTCTCTCTTATCAAGTGAGTATCTAGAGCTGTATTTTCAGTTGCTGAATATAACTGCAGAGTTCATTGACTTCAGTGAAAGTGTAGTGATTTATGGTGGTTTCACATCTGGCCTAAGCTATACTCAGCAAACCAAATCAGTAGAAGCTGACCATGAATTTACACTTTCAGTTTCTTGCTAGTAGTACTTTTAGCAGTAGCTAAAAAGGAACACAGCATTTTCTGGTGTTCCACCGGAGTAAATGAATTCTTCCAAAGAGCTGTGGTGAGTCTGTGTTTTTTGCAGGCATTTTGTAATTTTTAAGTGTACAGCATCAATGAACACCTGTTTTTTTCAGAGTTTTTCTGTATCTGCTATCACAGCATGAATGAGAAACAACAATTAGCATAGAATCGTTTTTATTTTCATTTCCTCTTCCTTGTGGACAAATCCCAGTCACTTTTGGCTAGAATTTGATACAACAGCCAGTAGTATTTAATTTGTAAAAAAAGTTGGTTTGGGTTTTCCTCTTTTGTTTTGCCAGCAATCTGTGACTCGGAGCCAGAACAGCCTGTTCGGAATTGTCCACTGTGGGTGAAAGTAGAAGGTGAAGTAGATCCAGAGCCAATTTACATCCCAACACCATCTGTTATTGAACCAGTTAAATCTGTGGTACTGCCCAGCACAGAAGTCTTGCCTCCTAGTAAGCCTAGATCTTCCAGTGGAGTGAAACCAGCCAGAGTGTATACTCCTAGACCCAATCCAGTGGTAAGAAAAGAGATGAATTTGTTTTGCTTTGTATCAAAAATTAAAACAATCACTGCCCAAACCTTCTGTGCTAGATCAGTTTAGATGAAATTTGAGATGAAAGCCTAAGATTGACTTTTATATAAACTTTAACTATGTCTGTGTTCTGTTGAGAATTTACTGTAGCAATACGCAGATGGTGAAAGGTGATAATGATTCACTAATATCAAGTGTTACCGCATTTTTTTAAATGAGACTATTTTTGGCAAAATGATTGCCAGTCTTGTAATGTTCATGCAAGTTATTAGCTGCATAATATAGCCTAAGTAATGGATTACTTGCAAAAAATAATTGTGATACAGACATAGTGTTCACTGCAGTTCTGATGTCTTTTTTTTTCTTCCTTTTTTTTTTTTTTGATATTTCACTGACAATACAGGAAAATCTGCTTTTGCCTCTTTCATCTTAGTATCTAACAAAAACAACAACATCAGTGGAGGAAAAACAGCAGTAGGAGTTGAGCCTAGTTAGGTCTAAGAACAACTATACCAGAGCTGCTATTTAATGTGTACCAGATAATCAACTCCTGACACTCAGGACTCATTTCCTCATTTAGAAGAGTACCTGAGCAGGTTTGGGTTTGGGGGGCTGGTGGTGGTGTTCTGTTCTCCCCCCGCCCTGAATATGTGATTTGGAAGCAAGATGTAGACTGGGCTATGTAATACTAAGAGGGCAGATTCAGCGTTAAATGCTAGACCTCACTTTTGACGTTTCCTCTTGAAGCATTAATGTTCAAGTGTTGTTAGAAATCAGAACTGTTTCCTGAGTCTAATATGGATCTAGAATGGAGAGATGTCCTTGTCTGTTGTTTTTCGGTTGTGGTTTGGTTTTTTTTTTGTAGATTCGAGATGAGGACAAGGATCCTATCTACCTGTACTTCGAAAGTATGATGACTTGTGCAAGGGTCAGACCATATGAATACAAAAGAGAGGAAAGAAAGCGAAAAAAAGTGAAAAACGAGTTACAGATTTGTAGTATAAAGGTAAGAAGTTGCACTGTAACTAGCATGTACCATAGGACAGGCAGAAATATTGAAAATGTTGAAATAATTTTTGCCCCAGAAATTCCTACGCAACAGGAGGGCTTGACTTAGGTTTGATGGTGACAGGGCTATGGAGTCTGGAGCCTAAGTTACGTAGCAGTGTTAGTCAACTTACACCGTTGCTGTGACAGGAATTGTCTTGTCTTTGGGAATTCCTGTCTGCCAAGCGCAGGATGTTCGTTGTTAGAAGAGCTGTTCTAAGATGACAATGGTAGCGTTGTCAAAGTTAGCATATGTTTTATGATTTGGGGTGACAGTATGATGAACGAGTTTGTGATGCAGTTTTTAGCGTTGGAAGGGTGATAAGCAAGATGAGACTTTTCTTGCATTTCTTTCTTGCAGCAGGAGCCTAAAACAGAAGTTCAGACTCCTGAGAAGGCAGCCTCTGAGGTAGACAAAGACACTGGTAAAGCAAGAGGTAAGAGCTGAGTCCTGAGTATCTATAATTTGACCTCTCACTAGTTCCACATCTTTGTGGAATTTTTGTGTTGGCTTTATTTTTTTTTTTTAAAGTTGCAGCTACTGATGAAGCAAAAGTCCATTTGCTGGGGGAGTTATTACAGTTGTCAATAAAAGTCTTACAATGCGCTCATAGTTTCCTGTTTCCTCAAGCAGTTGCGTGTGTGTCACGTGGGAGATACAGCAGACTGAGTATCCAGTGCCTGCTGTCACTCTAAGGTTAAAATGATCAGTAATACAGTAGCCTGGTTAGTGATAAAAGATAATGCTGCACAGCAGACTTGTCCTCAAGAGTGATAATTAGGTACTTGGAAAGGAATGGAAACCACTGGTTTTGGTTTATGTGGTTTTCTGGGTTTTGTGGGTTTTTTTCTTCTTTTTTTTCTCCTTACTGTTACTTGGTATTTACTGAAGAATTGGTAAATATTCAAGCGGTACTACGAGGATGGGATTCTCGTGTTCTCTGCTTGAGAACCATATAGGACGAGGAAGTGCCTGTACCTTATTTGGAGTTGTTTGACGTCGAATTCTTCTAGTTTAAGTTGACAGGTTGAAGTTTTGCTACATTGTATGTGCTGGGTTTGAGTTCCTGGTTCATAAAGAAGTAAGCTAGACATCTGTGATCTCTTGCAGTCTGAAGCAGTCCAAATCATGTTAGGAACTTTAAAATGAGACGTATATTGGAGATACTGTATCATCCACTAATGAAATACAGCGGCCTATTTGAGCTCAGTTTTTTTTTTACTGTTTGATGTATGCAACAGCGCACTCTACATTTAAGGATGGGAATGGAAAAATAATACAACTAGTTGAAACTGCAGGAGAATTGGTAGGTGAAATTGAAATGGCCAGGACACAGGGCTTAACATCCTTACAGTTTTGCGAAAAGTGACATTGGATCTCTAGTGACAACAAAGGGTCACGCTTCTCTTACATATCTTCTGCAAAAGCCAGTTCTGCTAGTGGCACATTTGCCACTCGTGCCGTTATGGGACACTGGTCCTTTTCTGACTCCAAGAGAAAAGTGCCGTCTCCTGAATAACCAGCGATGCTTTCTCCTGCATGTTGGGCTTGCTTGGAGATCTTTCATCCACGTGCTGAAACAACCCAGTTTTGTTTAGCTTGTGATGCAATGGGATACAACCTGAGGTGGTATGGCTGTGGGGAAGGAACTATGAGAAATAGGTACGTGAGTTTTGCAGCGAGTTTTTGCTTGCTCGCGAAGCTCTGCGCTGCTTTGAACTATTCTTTTACTTGTTGTTGCCCTGCAGCTGAGAACAAGGGTGGAGGTGTGGGCAGAGTAAAACTGTTTGAATATCCAGGTGATTAAAATGCCATAGTATTGCAGAAACCTATTTCAATTCTTCCTCAGAGAAAAGCTGGTGGTCTTCCCATAGTGAGGGGGACTCTTCCTCCACCTCCTCTGTTCATCACACCACTCCAAGTGGACCAACCAAACTTATCGAGATTATGTCTGACTGCAACTTGGAGGAAGATCACAATAAGATCATGACCATGTTGTCACAGCATATCAGCAGTAACGCGCCACAGTGCCTCAAAGTGGGTAGCTTCGTTATTGAATTGGCTTCGGAGCACAAGGCCCGGGATGAGGACCACCCTCCTGTCTACTCCTCCAGAGTGAAAATTTCAGTGCCGTCCTACCATGTCAAGGACGAAAAGCCTGAGATACCCATCTTGGAGACTCCTGATAGTGGAGTGCCGTCGTGCAAAACCCCAGAAAATGTAAAGTTATCGCGGGCAGACGCAGTGGACAAACTGCAGGAGAAGTTGCATGGGGGCAAAGGCTTGCCTTTTTATGCGGGGGTTTCTCCTGCGGGAAAACTGGTCGTCTACAAACGCAAAGCTAATATGAACCCCTCAAGCTTGATTCAGGTGGGTCCCTCTGCCTTTACCATGGAGATGAGATTTCCGTTTCATCCAGTATCCCAGAACTGCTTGAACAGGAGAACAGCTTTAATTTGTCTACCTAGTCTTTTGAATGTCCAGAGAAGGCTTCTCAGTATCTGGTGGCAAAAAAAATAAGCTTGTCCCTTTCAAAATTGCCTCAGTAAAAGGAAATCTGTTCGGAAGTCTGAAATCTGATGGTTCAGCTTGTCCTTTTTGGCCATTTGTGTCTTGGTGGCCCACGTACAGAATCTCAACATCTTTTTTGGTGCTTTGAAAAACTCCCTGCAGGTGCATTTGACAGATAATACTTCTAAATAAATGGCTGTTAGAGGCCACAAAAAATATTTTCTGATGAATTGTACTCTGGGACAAAACTTGAAAATGAAACTCTAAACACTAAATTGCTTTTTGCTACGGCTTACTGTTAATCTTCACTAATAGCCTGCATCCTCTTTGCGGAATATAGGTTATTCATCAAGAATCATGAGTTCAACGTGAATCCTTTCCCTGCAGTTTCATGCTGCCAGCTTGGTTTTATGAAGTGGTGGTAGGAACTGTAGGGTTAGGATGAAGATCTTTTTCTCTCAAAGGTATTTGTGGTTATAATAATACCACTTCCAGGGGAGACACGAATTAGAAAATGAGAATAAAATCTGTTTTCATGACACTTTCCAGATATGGCATCCCCATGAAGAGAACCTACTGGAGAAAAAAATTTAGGGGGAGATTTCTTGTTTTCCATAGAAGTTGGTCAGTAAGAATAGCCCAGACTTTGTTTAGTAGTGTGTTTAAATATATCTGGCTTTTGGAAAGTATTATCAAGCAACTTGAAAGTAAAATGCAGCACCACCAAAGCTTATTATGGACCACTAGGCGTAAACCCTGCCATTCAGGAAGATGTTCGCTTTTTGTCCTCTCCCATGCAGTCTGTTACCGCTGCAAATCAGTTAACTCATCACACCTTAATGACAATATCAAATGACAGTACAAATAAATTAAAAAGCTGATAAAGCTTTTACAAGCTCTTTAGAGTTTTGTCCCAGTGTATATGACATAAGTATTCCTTCTTTTGTGATGCTAGGTGTTAATTAGTTTTGAGAATCTTATCCAAAATTGTCCTCAAATTTGGGAACTCATTTTTATTCGGGACTGTAGCATAAGTAAGGAACAGGAAGAGTAAGTGCTAGCTTCACTCAGTGTAATTTCAGTGATTTTACAATGCTCCGTTGGACTCTGTGGTTCTATCTGAGGGTCTGAGTAGCAGCTAAAATCTGCGTTATAAAGATACAACAGAGTTGTTTGAAGTTCTCCTGGTCAGTAAGGAAATTAGGAATTCCCATCCTGAATTGCAATGGTTTTTCGAAAACGACACGTAGAAGTCCCGTGGCATGAAATGCCTCTCCAGAGGCGATGAATTAGCATTCTTTTCACCAGATTTCCCTTTTCCACTTTTTTCAGGTTAATGATAAAAGGTATCCTCAGGCCAAACTGCTTTTGGGACAGATGGGGGCATTACATCCCGCCAATCGGCTAGCAGCTTATATCGCAGGCAGGCTGCAACACGCAGTACTTGATATCTCAACCCTCAGTACTGTGATCTCCAAGGTAGCACCCAGTGCTAAAGCAGCTGCTCCTGAGACACCATCAGTCCAGGTGCCCACCACCTCAGCTCCCAAAACTACATCTTCCACCAGCACTACTTCAACCCCCACTGTGACGACTCTGAAAACCCATGTCCCACCAGCACAGAGACAGATAGGTAGGTTGCAACTTCATTACTGTGTTTTAAATTGTGCGAAGCTGAAGTGAAGAGCGAGTGTGCAGCATTGCTGATTTCGGTGCGACGGTGCGGGCTGCCTTTGGCTGCATTGCCTACCTAAACTGCCTCTGCAATGAATAACTTTTTTAAAGCAGAAAGTTTGATTTTGACGTCAGAATAAGATGATGGATGTTGACTATTAGTTATTTTATTAATGCTGCTAGAGCATATTTTCAAGAGACAAGGAAGAGTGGATGGAGACACACTGAATATTAAGCATGGATTTTTGTTTGGAGAGTTTCCTTACTGTGATTTTTTTAATTGCTTTTCATCAAACAACGATTTAACTTAAACGAGTAAGTGATCGCTCTAACCTGTGGTTCTTCGCTGGTAGTTTTTCTGATGTTACATTTGTAATTGGAATTCCTGTGACCACCAAAGATGCGTTGAAGCGGCAGTGAAAGACAAGATGGCCCATATCTGGATTAGCAAAACAACAGGAGTGCAGCCAGTAACACACCAGCCTGTAATCTCATTGGATCTCACAAGCTAAAAAGGGTTGGACTTAGTCAACACTTGAGTTTAAAAAGAAAAAAGTTACCAGAAGAAGCATGTGGTACTGAAACGGTTACCCCAGCATGACAGGAGAGGAAGTTGCCTTTAACTATTAACATTTTGCATGAGTTTAAAAAAAAAAGTAATAAAAATTAGAATATCCAGTGCCCATCCGCATATTCCCACACGTTAATTAAAGATTTGAAGAAGCTTTGCAAGAGAAAAGGATGTTACCTGTGTCCTGGCAAAACTTTAGTTTCCGATTAATTATTTTGGTTCTTTCTGCTGAAATTTTCATTGCCGTGTAGATGGATGTGTTGTTTTTCTTGTCCTGTAATAATAAACTTCTTGGTTTGCGTGTGTATGCAGTATTAAAGAGCTGGCTGCATTTCATTGATGGGTGAAGCGATGGTTATGCACGTGATTTCAGCATTTTGGCATATTCTGTGTTAAAAATGCTCTATGCATAAGTAGCTTCAGTATTTAAGTTGGGCCTGCTCTGTGATTTCTGTGCTGCTGTACTCACCTGTAGGCATCTGGTGTGATGTAGGTGCAGTATTCTGATCCCTTGCAGAGCAAGGGATGAGCGAAAGGGTTTTTGCAAGAGTGACTATTTCCCATCGGTTGAATTTGTCCCATCTAGCTCTCAGTTGCACGAATGTTGCTGCCACAAGAAGGGAACTTGACAAACTCTTATCTCCCTCCTGCCCCTTTCCTCGTGGCTGTGTAAGGTGTGGGTGCAGTCGAAGAGGGGTGAAAACCAAGCGGCAGTGAAAATTTTGAGGAAGATCACACAAGCTGTTAGAGGAAGAATTGGAGTTTTAGAAAATAGTTTGAGCCGATGGTTTCCCGTAGGTGTTTGTTTTCCTGTGCTATGATTAGAGCCGTCAGTTCATAGTTTCATGATAAATAACAACCCCTCAAGACCTGATACTTTTGTGCGGTCGGGAAGAAATGCAACCAAAAAGATGTAGAAGGGGAATAAAGCAGACATATTTCTAATGTGTGAGGCGTGTTCAGGACTGCTGTAAAAAACGTTTCAGTTTAATTACAAGCTCCAAAGAAAATGGAATCTCAGGTTCTTGCTGAAATTACAATTGTAGCACCTCATGAAAGGCAAAGGGGAAGCCTATTAAAATGTTGACCTGCAAGTTTTTGTTTGCAGCTGCCCGACCCTCACCTGGTGGTGTGTTCACAGAGTTCGTGATGAACAAAGCCGGAGCCCTGGAGCAGGTTGCTGGAGCAAGCGCGCGCATGCCTTTGTCCGGACCACAGAAGTTCAGTATCAAGCCCACGCCCATAATGGTCGTCACTCCTGTGGTTCCCTCCAGGCCTTCTGCAGCTCAGTGCACCATCTCTCCTGGGGTCACTACGGCCACCATCGCTTCTCCAGTTACTGTGGAAAGTACCGGCGTGGCACCGCCTCCTGTGAGCGCTCCCGGCCAGACGAGACCTAACGAACCTGCCTGTTCCTCTCCTGTAATTACAGTCATAGCTGCTCCTGCAATATCTGAACCCAACACCGGCACCTGTACGACTCCCTCGTCCACCACTCCGGCTGCCACTGTGAACGTCATAGCAGCGACGGGGATTGTTGCGCCAGTGGCAACCATGCCCTTGCCTAACACTGTAGTAACGACACCAACTGTTACCTCTTGTCCTGTTGTCACAACGTCAACTTCTACAGTTGTGCTAACAACAGCTGCGACAGCTACGTCTGTAGTGACCACACCGACTTCCTCTGCCATCTCCGTTCCGATTATACTGTCGGGAGTTAATTCAAGTCCTTCACTGAATCCGAAAAGAGGTAAGGCTGAGGTGCTTTGGGCTATCACTGCAAAACTTTGTTTTTTTTTTTACTTCACTCGACCTTCTTTCCAAAATAGGGTAAGAAACATAATCTCTTAAGTTGCTTGTTTTATTCCAGCCTTGAGCCAGTAGAGAAGCTAAAAAAATGTAGCTATCTCCTCAGTGACTGCTGTGAAGTGAGCTGGAGGTCTGCATCATTTCTTGGCCCTTAGCAATGTATAGCACAATTCGAGATGTATAGCACGGAGTTTGAGAAGTGGGTATGGAATTACTCTCTCAGTAACATGGAAGTCTAATGAGTTACGGTCTGGAAACGTCAATGGAACTACATGAAAAAGACTGCTCTGACTCCATTGGTTCTCTGTGTTCTGTGAATAAGAAGAGTTAAAAATGCTTTCAAACGAAGAGATATAGTTGTTTCCAAAATACTTGGGAACTTGATTTTACCTGATTTGTAGACTTTTGCCTTAAGCTGATTTTTATATAACTTTCTGAATGTTTCAGAGGAGGCTACTGCACAAGCTGTAAGTAAGACTCCGCAGAAAATGTCTCCTGGAACAGACAAACGTGTAGGACCTCGGTTGTTGCTGATTCCCGTGCACCAGACATCTCCCGCTTTGCGACTGCTGAACAACACGCAGCTTACTCCGAGACAGAGGATGGTCCTTCAGCCTCTCAGGAGTCCCGGTGCCATGAACCTGTTCAGGCATCCCAATGGGCAGATAATTCAGCTTGTCCCTCTGCAGCAGGTTCGAGCTGCAGGTGCCCAGCCCAGCGTGCAGCCGGTGATGTTCCGCAATCCAGGTATGAAGTCCAGTGTTTCCTTCTTGACTGACCAATGTGTTGCCCAGAAATTGTGATAAATGTCTCTGTGATGCTCCTTTCCTGTGCTGGAAGAAACTAAACAGAGGCTTAATTTGGTTCTGTGCAAGTGGTTGAAGAACATGGTGTCATTATTCAGTTTATTCATTTTAAATTACTCAATTTAAATACCATCTGTCTAAAGTATGATAAGTGTGATTGATAGCTATGTCACCAAAATTTGAGACTTGTGCACAGCAAGTAAAAGAGCCTCTGTGTGTAGTAACAGAGCCATGTCCTTTGTATTGTCATAACTTAAAAGAAATCCTGTTGATCTGGCAATTAAAAATTAATTCTTGTTAGAGACAGCCTTAAAAAGAACGACCTCTTGCCTGTGTTTTATTGGATGTGCTCCTCTGGTTTTGTTTGGTTTGCAGGCTTGTTAGTGCTTTTACGGCAGATACTCAAATCAAACTGCAGTACAAAATTGGTTTTTTTTCTTTTCTTCCTTAGAGTGTGAGAAGAAAAGTAAGTTTGGTTTTCAGCTGTTTCTCTAGTATGTAATTGAAGACAAGTTTGAAAGAGTTAGAAATTGCAGGTATCTGAGAAAATAGCTAGGATGCTTGTTAAGCATACTGTAGTGTACCTATTTGTAAGCAAAACATGTTTATAAACAAAATATACTTTAAAGGCATGTTTATTTTCACACAGGATTTTTCTAAAGAAGCCTCTTGAGGGGAGGGAGGCAGAGTGGTGTTGAGAGAGGCAAGAGCAAGCACAGTAGATAACAGGAGTGTGGGGAGGAGAGAAAATAATCCTGTGCCTTAGCCAAGGTTCCAGCATGAGCTGTAGTAAAGAATCAGTCAAAAGGTTTGTTGAATTCCTTTCTGGTTTGGAACTTCTGCTGTACAAGAGAAGCTGTTTGCCAATGGTGATATTTTTCCTCCCTGTTTTACAGAGTTCTAAGTGCCTCAGAAGGGTTTGTTAAGGTGAAAAAAAGTTGTAGTATAATTGTATAATCTTGTCATAGTTTTTCCTCTGTGAAAGTCTTTTTCTGAGGAGAAACAACAGGATTTTAGGTTGGTTTGTTTTTTCTGAGAAAATCCCCATTTTCCTGTTTTCCAGTAAGTGGCAAAGTAGAATGCAGACGACTTTTAAGTGTAATGCCCTTTCTGGATTAAAAGCTTAATGCTGAAACTTACCATTAAATCCATTAGTTTTAGAGTAGCCAGCTCGTGTATTTTATTGGGGTGTTCCATAAAAAATTTCAACAGTTCATATGTCTTTATGCCGTACCAGCTCTTTCATGAAGGATTTGTGGTCACTTGAATATGTGACGATCCTTGAGAATACTGGCTACTTCTAGCACAGTGTGAAATACTGAAAGAAAGAAAAAGTGATTTGAGGAAGTACTGACTGAGAGTTGATTTGTTCGGGGTTTTTTTTTCCTCACAGGATCTGTTGTAGGAATCCGGTTGCCTGCGCCTTCTAAGCCTCCTGAGTCACCCCTGTCCCCCGCTTCCTCTGTGTCTTCCACTCCTCCTGCCACAAACTCAGCCGCACAAACCGCGGTGCCCAAGTTATCCCCTCCGTCTAACGTCGCCACTCAAGCATCTTCTCTCCTTCCGTCAGTAACGAGTTTTGTGTCACAGGCGGGCACTCTGACTCTGAGGATCTCTCCTCCTGCTGCTAGCAGCGTGACAAATCAAACGGCCTCCGAGTCAAAAATAGCCTGCAGCTCAGGTGGCCTGCCTGCTACCACTGCTAATCTCATACCTTTGCAGTCCGGTAGTTTTGCTTTGCTTCAGCTCCCAGGACAGAAGACAGTGCCAAACTCCATTCTTCACCATTTTGCATCTCTTCAGATGAAGAAAGATTACAGGAAAATATGCAAGAAAGAGGAGTCGAGTGCTGCCCAGCAGAAGAAGAATGGGAAGACTTCACGCTCAGGTGGCGTTGAAGTTACAGAGTCTGAGGTAAAGGTGTCGGATAGGAAACCAGAAGAAAACGAGTCATCAGGTAACCAGTCAAGTAACGTTGAAGAGGCAGCGTCTGGCACAATTGCACCTGATAGAAATTCCGCTACGTTAGAGACAGTGGAGAAGGACTCAAAGGTGCTAGAGCCTTCTTGTGACGATAGTGCTTCTCAGCACGACGTTTCCGCAGATGTTGTGTCATCTGACCATTCATACATCAGTGAAAAGCCAAACGATGAGGAAGAAAAAGGGACTTCTGAGGAGAAAGAGGATTCTGGCAGTTCTGCAGCTGCAGTGGAGGCTGTTTCAACTAACTCTGAAACTGTTTGTGCATCATCAGATCAGTCTCTAGTTGCTCCTCCAGATAATGCACATCCACAGACTCTGGAGAAGCAGGAGACTGCCCAGTTGAAGAACCACGGAAAGGAAAAAATAGGTGCTGAACAAGAAGAGAAACCGGTAGAAGAGCAGGAAGGAGATGCACAGACGCCGGAGGAGGAGGACAATGAGGCAAGATGTGGGCAGTCACAGAGTCAACAAGAGCAAGATACACAGCAGGAGATCAAAAAGGAACAGGGAGGGCCTGAGCTGTCTCAGAACAAACAAGGATGCCAGGGTGATGCTGTACAGGCAGATACGGAAAGCAAGGAGTACAAGGGCTCTACAGAAGCAGAAAGCGTAAGAGAGAAAGAAGGAACTACGTCTGAAATGGATTCTGCAGAAAAGCAGGGTGATGCTTCGGGAGAAGAGCCTACTGTCAGTAGCGAGAAAGGCAAAGCAGACACGGCTGGGCAGGAAGGCAGTGACAAAGAACAAGATGCTTTTGATTCTCAGGAAGAAATGAAAACGGGTCATGATATTGTAACACATGTCAACAGTTCTTGGAGCAAAATATCCAGCATTGTACCTGCTTTAGAAAACAAAAGTGAGGTGGATAATAAAGCTGATACCTCTGAGAAAAGTGACTTCCAGACACCAGAACCGAAGGCGCGGGAACCCAGCCATGACGAAAAGGGTTACTTGCCCGCCATTGATGTAACTGCCGATGATACGGAAGAGGAGTATGAGGAAGATGATGAGGATGATGATGATGAGGATGAAAAAACTGATGATTCTGCTGATGAGACGCTGGATGGTGCTTCTGACTTCCCGAGTGAAGAGGAAATAGATGTTGAAAAAGTGGTAAGCATTTAACTATTTATTAGGGGATTTTTTTACTTTCTTTTTTTTTTTTTTTTTTTTGTGACTAGACTAACTAACGTGTCCCAACCCATGGATTTGAACGACGCAATATGATGTTGTGGTCTGGACTTGAGTTTCATAGAAAGTGTAGCTCAGGGTTCCAAGGGGAAATGTCTTTTGTTTCTTCTTGGTTGCATGCTCTTTCACAGGTAGCATTGTAGTGTCCATTTAGAAATTGTTTGGGTTTCAGATAACAGGATTTATATTAAACAAGCTGTAATAAAACTGTTGCTTGCTGTCATCCTGCAGTATTTATTCAAGCAGCTTGGTTCCTTATGATCCTAAAATATGGTAGCCAATCTCATATTTCTGTTATTTTAAGCTTTAAGTTATTTTTAAGCTTTAAGTTTCCTTCTTCTTAACTTTTGTAGCCCTTAGTTAACGCCTATTTCTGAGAGGAATGTTTGACTCTCTCCTTGTATTAATAAATTTCAGGAGAAATTTATTTTAATGCGTGAAGTTACCACTCCATATTCAACAGGAAACAATTTTCTCCAGAAGTCACAGAATAAAGGTGGTTAGTGTAATTAAGACACGTTTAGATTTTAATAGCCATAGAATTTCTATTCAATTTCACCCCAAAATTAAAAGAAAAACAATCTCACTTATAACTCCTTGACGTACTTTTTATATACCACTATGTGACTTAAGAAACGGTGCATTATTACTTTATGAGGTTGTGGTTTTGTGAGTGAGTCAAACGGATGTAAGAGATGAGGTAGCCTTTTCTTGGGATGAGATAGAAGTGGAAAGAGGAAGGTTAAACTGGGGAAGAATTGAAGAACAAACATTAAAATAGGAGAGATTTTATTAGTGCCTCCAGGAATTCGAAAGTACACAGTTGTTTTAGCCCTTTTGTGTTGATGTGGTCCCACAGCTGAAAACCAAATCAGACTTCTTGTTCTTTTAACCGTATCTGGAGTAACTCAATTAAATCAGCAACTCTGGCTTTTAGAAAATTTATTTAGTTTCCTGAAAAATAGACTAGTCGGTTCATATTCCAGCTCACTATTCTTGGGTAAGATGACAGCATCTCAGCTCCATGAAGGTGAGGAGTAGTTTTTTTAAGTCCTTTCAAGCTGAAAAGTGAGCTGCTGCTGTCTTGTCTGGAGGCAGTGACAATTTGACAGCTCCCGTATCCTTCAGTAACTGCAGCAGAGTTACCACTAAGATTTGAGAACTGTGGATCAAATTTCCAACCCCTAACATTCTGTGATTGTGTGATTCCAGACAAGGTAGTCTTAGGAATCTGTTGGTAAGCCAACAGGTAATGCAATATTTAGGTCTCAGAGTAGCCTGTTATCAGGGTTGATGTTTTAAAGATGTCTTCTCTTTTGTCCTGCAAAAGGATGATGGAGCAAAAAATAAAAACTATTAGAGATTGCAAGAAGTTTTTGCTTAGGAAGAAACTTCGTGTGCAGGTTGTGACTAACGTGGTTTGGTGAGCTGTACAGGGGTACGTCTGCACTGTAAGCTCACACAAACGTGAACAGGGTAACTTTGGTTCTAGAGCAGTAAAGCAGAGGACCGAGATCTCAGAGGAGTGTAAAAACCTGACTGGAAATGGGGTGACTTCTTGGTTTGTTGGCCTGTGCTGCCTGCAAGTCAAGCTAGCATGTCACTGCCTAGTGGAGAATTCAGTTTTAATAAAAACACCTAAGTCTGTTTAATTTTTCACTAGGATGTACTTTTTTTTACTAGTGTAGTGCTTACAGGGCAGGCCATGCTGGTATTGTTTGTCAGACTGGGGGAAGCCAGATCATACAAACAGACTACTAGAAGGCGTTTATCTGTTTCATTAAGCTATTGGGAACAGAAGTGTCCGTGCATGTCCATTAATGCTTTTATTCAGTGGAAATACTGATGGCAGCTCTTTCTTCACTAGTTTGATGTGTGGACTGTCCTTAGTTGCTCAGGAAGTAGCCATTAAAAACCCCAGAAAACTCCAGTGAGAGTCAGGATGATTGCTACTTACCTGTAGTAGTTCTTAATGTTTCGTTTCTAGTACCTTTTCCTGCCCTGGTTCTTACTCCAGTAATGATTTCATTGTTGTTACTTTTGCATATTGGAACTTTTCAGATTACCTTCTTACCTTGTGCTAACTTTTATGTTACTAAGCAGTATCGGGAGCTGTTGTCTGAACAAACTCAAGTGTGCTGGTCTGGGACGTGGTGTTAAACTCTTGATCTCTGAGCTGTGAGAATCAGCACACAAAATTCCTGTTATGAATGGGTGCCTGGCCTAGGCTAGGTCACAGACTGTGACACTTGTTGGATTAAGGCAAAACCATGCCAGGGCTGTTCTAGTGTTTTAATGCTGCAGGGAGAGTCCTATGGTCCTCTTTAACTTACTAGTTTAAACATAGCTTCTCGGTTTGGCAGTTACTTTATTTTAAATGTTGTTAAAACATGTTTTTCAGTCATTCTTTAAATTTAATATCTTTAAATTAAAATGCTAAGTAACTATTCCAAATTATTAGAACATGGTGAGTTCAATAAAAAGTTCAAGTGACGTATTTTGCGGATGATTTAAGTTCTAACGATTTCTCACATGTTCTGTGCTTTTGGTACAGGCCGTGTGTGAAATCTGCAGACATTGTAGCATAGAAGGCAAATCCAGAAATGAGGCACTTGTTTGGGTAATGTTGGTAGGACATCTGTTGTCATCTACCGTCCTTCTTTCTCAGCACCATCCCCGAGGACCCGCTGCCATCAGGCAACTTGCTCTTAAAGAACCGGCAGTAGGGGTGTAGGCTGCCAGGAGCAGACAGGTAAAAGCCAGGGGAGAGAGCTCAGAAACAGACATTGAAATGCTGAGAGGGGAAAATGCTGACGTTTCTGTAGCAACTTTGGAACTTCTGTTGTAGTGAGAGGTTGTTCCTCTTCTGTCTTCGTTCCTTAAGATATTTCACTCGTACAGGCTCAAGGTGCGTAGAAGTGCTAGAACTGCAGGACCTGAGGAAGGGCTGGTGCTAGAAAGGTGGGGCTCCCACAAGCATTTTAGAAGTTTTTCAGCCCAACAGGAGGTCATGCTAGGCTATGGATAGGGTTCAGGCTATGGTGAGGCAGCAGTCCTTACCTAGGAGTAGTTCTTCTTACGGCAGAACTTCAGCAGACTTACTTCTGACAATCCTCACAATTGTGATAGTTTTCCTATTGACAGAAAGTAAGAGGTCGAGAGGAAAGATTTACCATCTTGAAGCATTTTTCTCTTTGTTGTAAGAATGAACAAAGTAATGGTTTTTGTTTTATGTAAATGTCCACATTCAGGATTTGTAAATTTAAACGTGAAGTTACTGGTGGGCAGTGGGGAGCTTTTACTCCTGATTTTTTCCCTGTCTTTCATGAAAAAGATGCCACATCTCCAGTTTTGGATAACGCTTTTCTAGTGTGACAGTGTGTAGAAAGTTCTACCACGAGAACAACCCTGGATAATTGCTGTCAGCCCTTTGGTTAGCGCAGTGTAACTTGTCAACACTCAACAGCGTAGTGTTTCTACTGTAAACTAATTTCTTAGGGTTTTTTTTCCTCTCGATCTGGATTGCAGTGTCTTCTGAACTACTCTGCATGTCCCCCTTCCCTGCAGTGTAATGATGTCCAAATGTAGATTACACAGAGTAGTCCTGTCCCCTGAAGAAAAACAGAACACGTCTCATGCGTGTAGAATCACAGTGATGATATTCTATAAAATGGAAAATTTAGGAAAAATACCAGGAAGCTTCTAGCATCAGGGAGGCTTTACAAATGATCCAGGAAGGCAGGCAAGAATGACAGGTCCTCTATATATAGCGAAATGCAGTTACGTTGTCATAAAACGTGACCTGTTAAAATTTTGTAACCCTGGGCTTCTCACACGTTTAATATTTTCAACGTAATGAGAGGTACCTGCTCCATATTCCGTAGTTTAAATAGTATCTTTAAGTAATTTTTGTTCAGCCAGGTTTGTTTTTTTTTTTTCTTTTCCTCTGGCTCTGTGATGCTTTTCCTTCTCTCCTCAGGCCCTGGGGAGAATTAAAAACAGGCTGTGGAAGCAGCTGTGCTACATTTACATTACCTGTTGTAGCTCTACAGGAGGTTAGTGTCTGGAGAGATGTGTGGCTTTGGTATCTCCCAACTTCTTCTCTTTTGCTTTCCCTTCCTTGCACTCTTACCAGTTAGGAGACTTCAGTTTCAGATTCAAGCCCATGTTCTCAGCTGAGGAGTTCTTGGAATTTCAGGACTCCGGATCCTCTAGTAAATCCTCAAGTTCATTCTGTCAACCCTGGCATGGCAATTCTCTAATTCTAGAGAATTTGGAGATCTTTAGTTGTGTGTTTGATTTTACTGCCTTTCTGTGAGCTTGCACAGATGTTCCTGTCTCTGCTTTTCAGTGGGGAAACTACAGAATTGACTGAAAGGCAACTTGGATGCATCTGTTGTCTTAAGAACAAAATCATTTGATTAAAAAAAAAAGCATCGGAAAATTTCACCTGCTCATTAAAACTGGGTCTTGACAAAGTCTGTAACAAGTAAAGCAAATGTGAGGAGGAGTTGCTGAAGATTGTTGGCTGTTTATGTAAGTGGCATTCTTCAAGTGAGATTTCATACAGTAGAACTTTGATTTCTTCAGTTGCTGTGAGCATATGGAGCCACTCAACAGACCTGAAGCAAAGGTGTGTGCTCTTCACAGGCAGTGTTTGAAAGCTCTTGAGATACCTGTGCTGGAGTGCAGCGTAGCCTCAACTTGGTTGCAGTATCAGTAGCCTCTCCATATCCACATGCTGGATCTAGAGTGCCCGCAGTATTGGGCTTCACCAAGGTCCCAGGGACGTGGTGTCTCCTGACTTTCATTCTCCTGGGGAGCAGGAACGTGCAGCTCCTGACCAGCCTGTCAGGTTTGAGTCCAAGCCTGCCCTTTGTAAAGACGGTTCTTTTTCTCTTTGCTCTATCTGGTCCCAGTGCTGACGAGTTTTGCTTTGTGGGGGAATATTTACAAGATGGAACAAATAAGCATTTTAGAGGCTTTAATGCACAGGGAGAAGCAGTACTTCCAATTGGTTCCTGCCAGTACCAAGCCTTCAGAGTCAGAAGAGAATTTGTTTTACTTCTGTGCTGCTCTTTATACTCATAACAAGAACTATCAGGGAATAGTTACAGATTCACAGCTGCTCTGAAGGAAAGCTGCAAAACACCCCAGAAATTAGTAGTGGTAGAGTAACTTATTTATCTCCTTTCTGAATGCAGAACTCACCAGAGATCAGAGCTGCTTTCCTGGGCAGAGAAGAATTGGGTCTTTAAAGTCAGAGCATGTGTTAAAAATAACTTTGAAAGAGTGAGATTGTTCTCTAAGGCTAGCCATTTCTTATCTAAGGTCACTCTCCTTGCTCTTCCTTCTTTTTCCAAAGACAGGACGTTTTACAATCACGGAGGTAGAAGATAACACGGGAATGTGCATAGCAACTTGTAGACGTTAGGATGCTTTTCTGTTCAGACCTAGCAGCTGTAGCTGATAAATTGAGCATCACTTTCTTTGTCTCAGCAGTTATCTTGATATTTTGTAGTACGGGAAGAGGTGTCAGCTTCTCAGCAAGTAAGTAGTTTAGAATTGTATACCTCCTTCCACAGAATTGATACTCCCAACACTTTGTAGGACCCCTCATGATGTGAATGGAAAGTGAAGGAAGACTTGGGAATATGTGAGGGGGGTTTTACAGAGGGGAGGGTGCTGTGTGGTTGCCTTCTGAAAAGACTGGAAGATTCTACAAGCAGCATTTCATACGTGTATGTGTGTCTATGTAGCCACTAAAATCTACTATTTAGACACACACCTTTTTTTTATATATATATATATCTATGCTCTTTTTCATATATATATATGTGCATAGACTCTGTACTAAAGGCTACATTGCTACAAACTATACCTTGCTGTGCTTTTCAAAGGTTATATGCTCAGTGTAGCCTTTAGTAAAGAAGGGCAGACTTGCTTAATTTTCCGTCCTGATGCAGCTTTCAGTTTTCTGTAGCCTCGATCACACAGCGACTGGAGGTGACGTGTTATGATAGAACGGTTTGGGTTGGAAGGGACTTAGTTCCAACCCCCTTGCCATGGGCAGGGACACCTCCCACTGGAACAGGTTGCTCCAAGCCCCGTCCAGCCTGGCCTTGGACACTGCCAGGGATGGGGCATCCGTAACTTATCTGGGCAACCTGTGCCGGTGCCTCACCGCCCGCACAGTGAAGAATTTCTTCTTTATATCTAATCTTAATCTACCCTCATTCAGTTTAAAGCCATTACCCCTTGTCCTGTCACTGCACTACCTGAAAAAGAGTCCCTCCCCATCTTTCTTGTAGCCGCATTTAAGTACTGGAAGGCTGCTCTAAGGTCTCCCCAGAGCCTTCTCTTCTCCAGGCTGAACAGCCCTGACTCTTAGCCTGTCCTCACAGGGGACATGCTTGAGCCCCCTGAGCATCTTCGTGGCCTCCTGGCCTCACTCCAACAGGTCCACGTCGTTCTTGTGTGATAACTCCAGAGCTGGACACAGCACTGCGCGTGGGGTCTCACAGGAGCAGAGCGGAGGGGCAGAATCGCCTCCCTGGACCTGCTGGCTGCGCTGCTTTTGATGCAGCCCAGGATGCGATTCTCTTTCTGGGCTGTGATCACACATTGCTACCTCGTATTCAGTTTTTCATCTACCAACAGCCCCCAGCCTGTGTTTGTGCTTGGGATTGCGCCGACCCACGTGCAGGACCTTGCACTTGGCTGTGTTGACCTTCACGAGGTTTGCAGGGGCCCACCTCTGCAGGTCCCCCTGGATGACCTCCCTTCCCGCCAGTGTGTCAGCGACACCACACAGCTTGATGGTGCTGGCAGACTTGCTGAGGGTGCCCTCGATCCCACTGTCCGTGTCACTGACAGAGATTACACAATAGTTAAAAAATACTGATAATTTTATGAGGCAGCGTGATTCACAGTGGAGACCACTCTGTTGTGTCAGTAACTAAGGTGGCAATTTTTATGTAGTGGTTTGAATTTTACATAGCCTTACTGCCTTGTTTGGGTTTCAGGGTTGTCTTCCTGTTATTATTTTAGTTTAGAAAAGATTTGTATTTAGTCAGTATGAAGAAGCCAAATACTAAAACATTAGGTTGTTAGAGATCCTGCTTCTCCATTAGAAAGGAAATAATCAGCGAAGATTTACTATCTGATTATAAATTGATCTCTTTAAACTAAACTATTTAAACCAACTATTTAAACTAAACTATTAAAGTGTAAATTTCATGACTGCTGATTGGAAATGTGAATCCTTAAGGACTTGTTAGCTATGCTTGTGTGGTAATTTAGGCTGCTCTTCTTTGTTTTCATTATAGGGCCCTTTGTAGCCTAATCTCTTTTCAGCTGAGTAAGTGGAACACTTTCTCCTTTTGTATCAAGTCCTTAAAACAGCTGTGTGAGTTGCAGATAACTTAATCAGTGCCACAAGAAGCATTTGTTAGAGGCCACTTACTGATCCAGTACTACTGCACATTGCTTTTTTTTTTTTTAACTCCCCGTTCTGTACTTAGTGGTTTTTGTGATTAACTGTTTGCATGAATTTCAGGTAAGTATTCAGTCCAGAGAAGGAGGAGATTGCAGCTCCTCAGAAAAAAAAAAAAAAAGAAAAAAATGACAAAGAAAGGAGGAAAGACAGCACAGAAACAGGAGGAAGATGAGTTTGGGTTATTTCAGGGAAGTCGGTAAATTAGAGCACTTAATAGAAGTATAATTAAACTTTCTTACTTCAGGAGGAGAGAGAGGTCTGCATTCTGTAAGAGACCAAAGATTGCAGTACAAAAAAACTTCAGTAAAATCTTATACAAAATATTGATTGAATAAGACTTGTTCTGTTTTGGGGCGGGGAGATTCACCTGGTACTGCACATGGCCACAGTATTGATATTTAACACTTGTAGTTGCAGCAACATTGCAGTTGTGCTCACACATAGTAGCAACTTTTCTTGGTCAGGCAAGCATGGAGCAAAAGTACTTTTCAGAATATCCTAAATATTTAAATAACGATGGGGCAGCATTTTGGAAAGAGCTAAAATCATATTGTTCATCATGTAAGCAGTTTACTGTAAGACCCAAAGAAGCCTGGTTGCACGATGCTCTGGCTCTTGCTGTCTTAGGTATGGGAGACCGTTACCAGGGTGATACCTATGTCAACTTGTGTTAAAAAAAAAACAAGTGAAAAGTGAATCAGCGAGAGTTTACAGCAGGAGGTTGCAAAGGCACTTTGATGTTATTTGAAAATGGAGACAGGAGCTTCTGCTCTGCGAAAGCTTTGTATCTCACCCCCTGTCAAGTGTAAATGGCAGAGATGGGTTTTGCCCTTAGCAAAATTCATTTTGCACAGTCGCTAGTGGGAGGAGTTTCTGGAGGTGATGGTTAAAATAACCGCCTGCCTGGCCCTGTTCCTTGGCCAGTGTAGCTGGAGATGTTGATTCTTTAATGGTTCTTAATGTTATAATGTAATCTCTTTTGAGACTGAAGTGAAACTGTTTTGGCCTGAGCTCTGTTGCTAAGTAGATACTCATTTTCAAAAACACAACAAAAACTGTTCCAGGATGCGTGTGAATACAGTGAGGATGACGAGCAGGTGGACATTGAGACCGTGGAGGAGCTTTCAGAGAAGATTAACATTGCCCGTCTGAAGGCCACAGCTGGTAATACCCAACCTTCCGAACAGACGTAAGCATCCTTGGAGAGCGCTGCAGTTTTGTATTTTGAATGAACCCCTTAAACAAGAGGTTTAATGTGATGGTAAGACGAAGCAAGGCTTGGGTCAGGGCTCCCTGAGCACTGGCGTTTCCCAGTGTCTGTGAGGACGGGGCTGTCGGAACCGAGAGTAGATTTGAGGTGTCTTAGCCTTTTATTTTTTCTTTTCCCCCCTATTTAATTTGTTTGTGGGGATGTGTATCAAATAATTACGAGTGAATCGCCTCCCTTTCTACAAACAGACTATGAGGAGAGCCATCTTTATTTTCAATGTGATCTTACAAGCTTTGTTTATTCTTGCTGGTGGACTCATTATTTTTAGGTGGTAGCAGTCATTAGCTTAATCCCTGACCCTGTAAATGAAAGCTTTGTCTTTGGGACCACTGCCCCAGCAAAGAAAATATTTTCTTATTTATATATAGTCTGCCATGGCTGGGTAGTTTGTTTATTTTTGTTTTGGTTTGGTTTTGTTTGTTTGTAATTGTTTCTGCCTTTGCATTTAGAATAACAAAATATAAAGTAAAAACATGACTGACTTGAGGTATGTAAAGACGGTCATGACTGTTTCTCAGTTGAACGCAAGAATGGGGAATGTTGCAGCCTTAGTTCTTTTTTATTTGAAGATTTTTATTTTTTTTTTTTTTTAGAAACATTGAAAAATCTGTTTGGTGATATTGTATACCTTCCTGATAGTTCCTATGTTTATTTTTCTTTCAAAGATGCAGCTCAACTTTTATCTTTAGATGGTGATTTTGCTGTAAATTGTGAAGGTCTTTCAGAGAGAGAGAAAAACAGATACCGTGTTTTGTAAAAAATAACTCTTTCAAATGTGTATTGTTGTTTTCTTGAAGCTCCCGAGATATGAGGAAGCTATTATTATGTATTAGGATGGTAACAAATGTCAGGATTTTTGGTTGATTCTTGGTGAGGGAGGGATTGCTCTGCCATCTGTATTGAATATTTTTTTAAAGAATGAAAACTTAATAGAAAAAAGTAATTTCTGCAGCTAACAGTCACAGGCTGAATTTATTCTCTTTGGCATATAGTGAAATAGTTTGTCTTTTGCGCAATGGGTTAATTCTACAGAACAGCTTGGGTTTTTCCGAGATGATTGCATTGGAGATAAGAGTTCACTTTCTTGAGAAAGCTGGACAGTATCCTGCTGTCATGTAGCTTTACAAGGAAGAGTTAAATTTCAATGGATAAAAATGAGCAATTTTAGGCTGTTGGAATGTAGTTAATGAGGATGGAGTGCATGAGATGAGTAGCGTTGGGAAAAACTTTTTACCTTTCTTCCAGATGCCATGATCATAGTTCTTCGGATGAAAAATTATCAGAAAAACCTACGAAGGTATATGTTTGCTCTCCTCTTTCCTTTTGGTATTACTCCTCCATTTTAAAGATAAACTTTCATCTCAAGTGCAACTCTTAATGCTATTTATCGACCTTCCATATTTTTATGATTAAATGCAAGAAACCAAACGGCTTTGTGGTGGGGGGAAGGTGCTTGGTCCAAGTCTCCTTAAAGGAAAAGAACTGCTACGGGCACCAGTGGGTTTCAGATTCACCTTAATGTATGGGAGGAATCTCTGCCTTTTATTTATTAGTATGCCTGCTTAGGTTTTGTGTTCTTGGCATAAATTCTTTTTACAGCGCACATAAGGTAACGAACAACTGAGAAATGGTTTCACCTGTCAAAGACAGTAACGTAGGGTTGCACGGGCACAGCACCGGGCGAAGGATTTCTGAAAACAGTGGTTTAGAGAAATTAAAAGATAACGCGGAGTCCTTTCAAACCAAAACCCATTGCTGAAGCTTATGCTGTATTTTAGGGTGGCTTTGAAGCCAGTTTCCTTAACTGTCCGTGATGTACTTGACGTCCGATCTAGAGCTGCCTGCTGGGGCAGGTGGGGTTTGGGCTGGGCTGTGAGCCTTGTGTCTGCCTTATCCATGAGAGCGGGCTGGTACGTGCGCTTTTGCCTGAGATGGAGATGGGTTCCAGGGCGCTCTGCTTGCCTCCTTGCTTTCTCCATGGATTTTTTTTCTCCACCCTCAAAGCTACGGTGTGAGGAACCTAATGCCCTGAGCAGGTGCAGTTGCAACCGTATGGAGCTCAGCCTGCCCCTGAGGGCAGAACGGAGCCAGGTGTCAGGAGACAGTCCTCAGGTTCCTCCTAAGGCCAGCAGGCTTGGAAATAGGGAGGAGTCCTTGCATCAGTTCACTGGGGTATGGAGCAGATCTAAAATGATGTAAAAACCACATTGATTCTACTTCTTAAGTGTTACTTCTTCATTAAATGAACAGCATAGTTGTACAAAGCCTGTAAGAGTAGTGCCAAACGTAGAGATTAGTCATTATGCTTATAACTTGTCAACCTTTTTGGAAACTTAAGCAAATTAAAAATCGGAGCCTGTCTTTGGCACTTTCTGTTTCTTGATAGATGTCTGGGGTGATAAGTTTAAATGCCGCCTTTCACGTTGTCATGTTTCTTGGCCCCACCTGTATGTACCCGTGAAACAAAGGGGGAATCAAACTAGTTTAGCTCCAGGGAAAGATTCAAGCGTCCTGTATTTGATGTGACCGTTTCATTCGTTAGTACCTGTGTTTGACAAGCAAACAACCAAAGAATTTGGGTTGAACACACGCGATTTTGCTGTAATCGTGTGGTTCACCTAAGTAGCCTTGTATCGCAAGAAAATAAAAGCTTATGAATTTCTGCTCATGATCTTTTCCTTTAGGGTCGCTGTGATTATGTTGGTCATTTCTCGCTGGTCAGCATTTCATGCTTATTGCGTGTGCTTCTGACACAGAACTTTCATGAAGACGTAAAGCAGAATAGCATGACATGAAATCTTCAGGTGGCTGTGGAAACTTGTAAATTGGGCATGCCTTTGAACACTGTTTGATATTACGTTGCCTCTTTTTTTGTTTGTTTTTTTTTTATTTTTGTTTTGTTTTGTTTTGTTTAAACTGGTCAATACGGTTACTTCTCCAACAGAAACTTCGTTTCCGGAACGGAAGGCTGAAGACTGAGGCAGAAGCCTTTGCTCATTACCGCGAGACACACACAGCAAACGAACGTCGGCGACGTAACGAAATGAGAGATCTCTTTGAAAAGTTGAAGAGTGCTCTGGGATTGCACAACCTTCCCAAGGTCTCCAAATCCTACATTCTTAAGCAAGTGAGTGTTTTGAAGCTTGAGCGAGGAGGAGAATCATTTAATCTGGACTGAGTAACTAAGCTAGTGTGAACTCTTTGAGTCCCAGTGATACTGTGAACAGAGAACTTCTGTTGCCTTTACAGGACTCGCTAGAAGAAAAGAATATCTGACAGAATCCGTATTCCTAAAAGCTTAATCTTGATAACACAGATGCATATTCTTTGTGAGTTTAACCAAGGAAGGTTATATTTTAATTCCTTAGGGGTTTACTGTTCGTATCAGGCAGTTTGAAATACGTTAAAGACTTGCGATTTTTTAATGCAGAAGATGATAGCATTTCATTAAGTATTCTATTGGCATTAAAAACTTAATTGTAAATATGCAAGTGACAGGAAACAAAACATAAGTTGTAGATACATGATTATACTTGTCAGCTCTACCTTGAAATTGTGTGATACAAGTTGTGCTTTTTTCTTAAAAATAACAACTTTGCAGGAAGGGCAAACAAGATGTTATTACTTCTTAGCTTGGATATAGGGAAAGCTGGCATTACATGGTGCTTTCTCTGAGTTCTAGTTTCTCAAGATGATGCCAATGTCTAAATAAGTTTTGTAAAGGTTTCTGTGAAGGAAAATTGTTATTTTGTGTATTGTTAGTTTATAAACCAGTTCCCTGACACTTTTCTAGGCCTTTGAAGAAATCCAAGGATTGACTGATCAGGCAGATAAACTAGTAGGACAGAAGAACTTACTGGCACGCAAACAAGATGTTCTGATTCGAAAAGTATCCACGCTTTCAGGTGAGACTGTTTATGGATACAGACTAGCTGGAATAATGAAAGAAAAGGCTTTTAAGAGTGAGCGTGAGTGGAGTAATCCTCTGGATCCAGGTGAGTCATTAGTACACGTAAAATGTAGACTCTTGACGCCAAACCAAGCTCTGCTAATCTCTGACTCAGCGATGCACATCACGATACACACAGGAGTACGCGTTGTGCTGACAGGAACTGCTTTTGTTTTTCTTCATGCCTAAAGGCGCTGCCAGCCGCGGGCTGGGGTTCCTGGGCCGAAAGGTCCCTTCGTTCTGGCATTGCTCACTTCCTGAAACAGGTTTTGTGCTCAGTGCTGCACAGCTCTGCAGAACTGTCTGATCAGTACCAAACCCTCTACTTCCTGGGCCAGCTTTGCAAATAACTGTCCTGGTACCACTTTTCTGAGAACTAGTGCTTGTAGGGTCTAGAAGGCAGCAGCTCTGTCCATAGAAGAAAACTGCAGTATGTGCTGAGCTGCTGCTCTTCCAAGACAAAACCGTGGTTTATTTATTGAGTCTTGCTGTCTCATTTGGAGATGTTGGAAAGCTGTGATACATATTCATCCAGTGCCAAAAATGTGTGTGAACAAACAAAACTTGAAGTTATTCTTGCAGTGTTCTTACTGTCTGGGAATAAAACCAGGAGACTACCTGTAAAGTAGAACCGTGGAATTGTTGAGGCTGGAAATCCTTAAATCTTTTATGTAAATCAGTTCATATATATTTGAGGTACTTGGTTTTAAAAAAAAACATGGGAAAACAATTCGTTTTAGTGAACTCTCTTCTTAATCCAGAAATAGACAATAGGCCTTTTGGGCAGGGAATGAAAGGAAATAATTTCACAGTTTTCTAATCTTCTTCATCTTAGTGAAGTACCTCAAAACTAATGAGAAAAAGAATCCTCTCTCAGGAGATCAGTTAAATAAAGACTTAATTGAAGTCTATATAGACCATGATGTTAGAACATAAATACTAAGCAGGACTCAAGCCAGTATAGTTATGTCAACTTTGATCACATAAAATTGTGTGCATCTGCAGAAAACAACTTCTTGTTGTGTAAGATTACAATTTTCCTGTCAGTGGTAGACTGTGTGTGAGCTCACCTCTAAATGTTGTTTGAGTAACAGGGTCCGTTAGTCCCATGAAATTTTGTGCCAGGTAAAAGTAACGTTTTGTCCAAAGTCATACATTTACCATTAGAAGATATATATGGGTTTTTGGATAGCGGTGGATATTTTCACATTGTATTTGTTTAGCACGAGCTAGTGCTCATCCAAGCCAATTTCTGTTTGTTGAAGTTGCAGATGAATTCTAAAACGTATGGATGCTTCTGAAGGAAAAAAATATCTTGCAATAAATAGGTAATGACATCCCTCTGTTAGGAAGCGTACTCTTTACCTGGTGGCTGGTGGTTACCTACTGTGTTGTAGCTGAATGGCATCAGCTTAATAGATTTTTAGTTCTGTCTTCAGCTCTTTACTTCTCGGAAGAGAGTTTGAAGGTAGGTTCACTCTCTGATAATTTTTCTGTAGGAAAGACAGAAGAGGTTGTCCTGAAGAAGCTAGAATATATTTATGCCAAACAAAAAGCAGGAGAAGCACAAAAGAAGAAGAACCCTGAGCCAGAGGAACCTGTTGTAACCTCAACTGCTAGCACGCAGCAGAAAGAAGCATCTTCTGCTCCCCTCAAAGAGCCGGCCCAGATAGCGATGACAAACAGAAGAGGCAAGCCGTTGATACTGGCCAGGAAAGGAGTCCGTGCCACAGGTGGGCCAAAAGCGATGCACGTTTCACATGAAATTAAAGCAGCATCTCCATGGGAGGACAAAATGCTAACCTGCTTCATTCTTGAGGCAGAGTTGGGTATAGGACTAGGAGTAGGTGTCCATCCAGTGGAAACCATTGGTTTTCAGTATGGGTGAGACCAGCACTACCGAGTTCTTCAAATGAATGTGACTTTGAGGTTCAGAGCGATGCAAAGTGAATTGCTGTTATGTTGTCCTCTGGTCTTGTGGAGTTTTGCTGCAATCCTGCAGTAATTTCTGAGAGTCAGAGGTCGCTCTGTTGCAAACTCAAATCCTGAAGGTCAGCCCCCAGAAGACTGGAGTTGCTAGAACAGCTTCAATTTCTAAAACAACCCTCCCCAAATAAGCTAGCTCTTGAGGTGATGGAAGACTTGCTCTTAAATTAGGACAGAACCGTGAGACACTTGAGAATTTTTTTTGGAGCTACGAACTTGTGGAGAAGTATTTGGCACTTATGGAGACTTTCGCACTATAAACTTGGGAAGGAAGGAACAAAAGAATGGCAGAAATCCAGACATCCATGTTAGCACCACTATCATACCCTGTATGGATCGGGGGATGTTTCTTACACTGGTAATAATACATAGAAATCAGTTGAAGTGGTCTTGGGCTTTTATAAACAACCAATCATTCTGGTTTCCCAAGCCTCATTCTTACCCAGTCCTGACAGAGTTCGGCATTGGAATTTGGATATAGCGAGAGAACTTCCTTTCCTTCTTCGGACTGGACAAGTCCCCTCTGTAATTTCAGCAAGACTGCTCTGATATTTGATCAAGATACCGCTCTGGAGAATTAGGATCGTTGCACTGCACGAAGAGATAGCACAGACTGGCTCTGGCTGTGTAGATGAGGTTCCTGCAGCCTGCACAGCTTCTGTAGCAGCTTTCTAATCTAGGAATTGCAAACTCTGCTAGCTGGAGTTCCTTCCACAACGGTAGTTAACACCAGATTATTATTATTATTATTATTACTATAAAACTGGATATCACAGGATGATGTTTGCCTTCACGGGTGCTACACCAGAAGCAATTTCTGATTTACGTATTTCTTTTTCACAGAGGACACCTCATCCCCTCTGACACTAACTGCTGCGAGCCTCGTGATGACCCCGCAGGGGCAGGTGCTTACGCTGAAGAGCCCGCTGCTGCCGGCGCAGGTGGCGGCCGTGCCTTCCACGCTCCTGCAGACTGAGTTAAAGCCTCAAGCTCTCGGCACCGCCGTGACTGCACAGCCAGGTACAGTCGTGTGAGAACACATTAACGAGAAATCAGTGTGGTGCTGCTCGTAAGTGTGCCCAGCAGCTTACAGAGCAAATTGTTATTTCGTTTTTGCTTTGATTTTTCGGATATTTTTTTTTCACAACTTAACTGACTGAGGTGGAACCTGACTCTGGTGAGAAAGATTTGATGTAATTAACTCAGATTACCAGTTTAGCAACAGGTAAGTAAAAATCTGTTGAATTTTCACTATTCCCAAACTAGAGAAGCATAGGAAAAGTTTCTTAATCACCTAACCAATCTTTATTTCTATTTTTTACCACTGTCGGATGGTATTACAGTGTAAAGTCTTGCCTAGAAGGGCAAGACTCGTATTTTTCAGGCTTAACTGAGTATCTGAAAGGCTCCTGTTTCCACCTCACCCTCTCTTCCGCTTTTCTTGGATAAGGTATTGCTTCAGTGATGATTCAGCTGCCAGGATCACCAGTTCCTGTCCAAGTAAAAGGAATCCTCGCTAATTCTACCATTCCCATTACACTGTCAACTGTTGCTGGAAACCCAGTGCCCACAGCAGTGGTACCAGCTGCCGGGCCCAGTGCAGGTAGGCTTGCTGCTTTTTGGTGGATCTTTCTGGTTGCATGCAGGGAACATTATCTTTGCCAAAATGAGGGAAAATTATTTTCTCACTAAGAAGTGACAAATAGGTATTGTCTGGGTGTTCAGAGAAAATCACGGTTAAAGAAAATCACTATTAAGTGTTTTGATCAATTTAAAGGAGCCTCTGGAGGATTTAACTTACCTTCACCTTGCTGAACCTCTTTGCCCTCGGCAAAGTCAGAGTGAGTGGAGGCTGGCACGTATCTGTGGTACAATGCATCCTGCTGGGGAAGCCACGGCGCGAAGCGGTTGTGGTGCTGCTGAAAATCTTTGCCCGTTAAATCCAGGCTCGTACCCTGGCACAGCCCCCAGCAGCTCTGTTGCCCGTTGGGGAGGCGTTTTTCAGGACTGGGGACTGTACATTGGGGTGGTTCCTGCTGGTGGGGTGCTGCTTGCCGCCTGGTGTGCTAAAAGCGAGCTGCTCGCTTCCTGCTTCATTGGTAGTCATTTGCTCATAATGCAAAAAGAAAGTTGGTTCACATTTGGGCTGGGAAAAATCGTAGAGCTATAAATAGAAAACTGTTTGGAGGCCAAAAGTAAGTAAGCGCGTAGTCCCTGAAATGCCAGTATTGCAAAATGTGAGCATAAAAGTAAAAGAGGAAAAAACAGCAAGCGAGAAAATTGCTGTTGTGTTTTCCTCGCTTACCACTGTCAGGACTGTGAGCGTTACAGTTCCTCGTGTTCGTGCCAGCCTGCCAAGGGAAGGGACAGGGCAGGTGTTCTGGGATAGCATGTGTGGAGCTTGCTCTTGTTCTACAAGTTGAAAGTGAAGCTGTGCGTGTTGTAAGGCTTCCCTTGACCAAAACTGGGTGAGTAGCTTAAATTGTGAATAGCAGCTTGCTGGAGGAAGACCTGAAAGTGAGCAAATTACATTTAATTAGGAATTACCTTGCAGTTACTGTGGATCCTGATGAATACTGCTTTGTTTGGTTTTGCAGAAAGTGAAGATTCGTTCGTGATGCCAAAGATAGTTAATGTGACATCGCTGGCCGCTGAAGGAAGCGTGAACCTAAACTCGAACAGAAACAAAAATTCTAATGTAACAGCAGCTGCGGGTACTCAGGCTTCTGAGAAATCCTCGGCTGTAGCACCCCTTGAAACTAAGAAGAGTGACAGCATCCTGCCAGAAGAAAAAGCTAAACCGTCTCCTGGAGACAGCGAGGGGGATGGAAGAAATACTGCAGGTCCCATGAAAGTTTCTTTTGAAAATAAAGACGGCTTTGCACAGCTCCGGAATGTATCGAGTGCAAAGGAACCTCCGGAGTCCTTCAGCAAAAGGCTTGGTGTCGGTGATTTTGCAGGAAGCCAAGCCAGGAGGAAAGATGGTGATCCTGGAGGGGAGAGATTAAAATCTAAAGAACTGCCCTTCCGCAAGCTGCAGATCAAAGATTCCAGGATAGAAATGGAATTAAGGAAAGTAGCATCTGCAATGGAGGAAGCGGAACTGGATGCGAGCGAGTTGCTGAGCAGCATCGAGGACAGCGATGACACGGATGAAACCCTCACCTCGCTGCTCAATGAGATCGCCTTCCTCAACCAGCAGCTGAACGATGACGCTTCAGCGATGTCAGAGCTGCCCACCACGCTCAACTCGGATTTCTCTCATGAAGATGCTCGTCGGAGAACAGCCGGTGACCTCACTGCTGCAGATGGGTCTTCCTTCCAGTTTGGCCATTTGGGAGGCAGTTTTAAGGACCTTGCCGATGTTCCCGAGGGTGGTGGCTCTATAAGCCCTCTCCTGCTCCACCTGGAAGATGACGACCTTACTGATGGAGAAAAGAACTCTGGGGAGCCTTCATCTGAAGCGGATGTTTTAAAGATAGTAATTGGTGCTGAAATGAAGGATTCACTGCCCAACCTAGCTGTAACCAGTGGCGGGCATGGCAAAACCGTAACGACTTTGGCAGAGACCACTAACGTGACGCCGCCGGTTTTGCAGATGAAAACTAATCCCGAAGCGAGCAACGCTGACACGCTGTGGAGGCCCATGCCCAAGCTGGCGCCGCTTGGCTTAAAAGTGGCGAGTCTGCCGACGGACTCGGAAGGGCAGAGCAATAAAGTGATGCCCTTATTGGCACCCGTGGTTGCAAAACTGGCCCCCAGTGGGGTGAAAGCTGCGCTGCCCGCAGCCGTTCAGGAGGGACAGGATAACAAAGTGATGCCCATGTTAGCGCCCGTGGTGACGAAATTGAATCCTGCTGGGCCCTCGCCTTCGAGTTCAGCAGACAAGTAAATGTGTCTTGTTTTTTATCAGAGACTGGAATGGAGATCTGAAGTGGTGTCGGAGTTCAGCGCCCTCCCTTGTGTGCAGCGCTCGTTTTCTGTGTGGCATTGGTGCTCTGTTCATCTGAGGGCAGGCCCCAAATGGAGAAATAAGTTCTATGAAACTTTTAAGCATGTTGACATATTTTTTACCTCACCGTCATCTTCTGGATGTTCTCTCCTTCCCCTTCACAAAACAAGGAAGATGATCTGTAACCATTGCTGGGCACATGGTATCCTTCCAAAATTGGGTCCTTCACAGAAATGATTTGTCAAAGGACTGAGAAACCTAGGCTATCGAAAGAGATTTTTTTTTTCTTTTTCCCCAATAGGGAGGCAGCTGCCTTGTTGGGGAAAAAAAATCCAGATTACTTGTTTTTGTACCAGGCAAATTATCTATGCAGAAATGGGATTGTTCACATTTGCTGTTTTTAATGTTTGCAGAATACGATGAATGTGCAGAACTGAGATTGCGGTTGCTCTCCAACTTGTTACCTAGAGTAGTGGAAGGGAAATCAGAGACTGTGCAGAGGGCTGAAGTGAAAAGCTTTTATTCTTTGGTGCTAGATGGTTCTCTGGCAGAGACTCGGTTTAGGAGCTTATGCGCAGACTTTAATAAACATCTATAACTCTCACTACATGGGGAAGAAAATTATGTTTCCCAGTGTAATTAGAAGTAGGACAGTATGTCAATTTTAATAAAATTACTAAAAAAAACAAAAAAATCCCCTAACTCACTTTTGCCTCCTGCCCCTATAGAAATACTCCTTCCTCTGATGCTTACGAAGGAAAAATTAGAGAATAGAAAAAAGATTGGGCAATCTTGCTACATCTTTAAATACATTGCTGGAGTAGCTGGAATATTTTCCCAATTCTTGTTTTCTTTCCTTCTGTCATTCTTCAGGACATGTTTGGTGGCCAGAAACATTAACAGGCAGCGTTGCTTCCTGAAAAATAACTGAATGCTTTCAGGACTGGTGTAGCCCAGTGTAAAGGAGCGAGGTGTATATGTGAATGTATATATGAAAATATGTGTATATCTTTCCCAACGTTCAGTTTCTTTATAAATTCAGGAAAGGTACTCAGAGGTTTCTCACTGCATTTGCACAAGCTGTGTATAGCAAAAAAAAAAAAAAAAAAAGTCAACAAAAATGCTCATTACCAGGGAGACAGGGCAGTATTGAATCACAAGATGTATTTTTTATTCTTCTCTGCCACTGCTTACTCAATAACCTGTAGATGCTCTTCGCTGTTCAGCTGTTGGATATGAAGGGCCTGCAGACTGTAAAGATATTTATATTTTTGTACACAGTTTTTGTTTTCATAGTTTTCTTGACAAATGAAATTTTCAGCCTAGGAGAGATGATTTGTTAATGAGTGTATACACAATCTTTTTCCTATCAAGTTTGTAAATATGAGTTATAGTGCGCTTGAGGGGCTTCTTAACTGCTCCAAAAAGGTAAAAAAAAAAACCCCGTCACCGTGAAATGATATTCGGTTTTGTGTTTTGCTTTATGTTTAGGAATGTGATCCCGTTGTACTGTTCCAGCAACAGCAACTGGGATGCTCCCTGCCCTCCCCTCAAAAAAATTAAAAAATCCCCATCTTTGGTGATGCGGGATTGCAGGAATTTAATCTTAACAGCACGGAGGTCGTGTGGATGTTGAGAGCGATGTTCTTCCGCGGTGCTGCTACACGGTGCGACCACACGCCCCGTCCAGCAAGTGGCATCTTCTGGGTCCGTGTCTGGGTTAGATCCGCCACGGGATACTTGTACCTTGGCCGCGTCCTCGTCTTTGTTTTATGTTTTTGACATTGTGCTGCAGAGGAGAGAAGCCCTTCAAGCTCGGTGTGTGTAAAGTTACTCCAGAGCCTATTAAAAAATAAAAAAGGTTCTTCGCCAGGCCATTCCGAATGGTTGTTTTAAAGCAGTGACGTGTAACTCTTCACTGCCTTGTGCGTATTCGCTGTTTTAATATCGGATACTGTAGTAGCGATTTGGAAGAGAGTGTGGGTCAGCACGAGAATCGTGCAGGGTCTTGCAGTTGTCGCTGAATGCCTTAGGAAAGGGATTTTACGATAAGAGTAAGTGTTTAGACGTATGTTGCTTATTACTGAAGAATTTTAACCTTATTTTAAACCAGTGGAAATCTAGAGTAACTGAATTAGTAGAACATCATTGGACTTAAGTATCTTTACCTGGGAATCTGGTTCTGAGCATTTCTAATAGGCTGAAGTTGCTTATTTTATTTGTCCCGATGGCGGTTTGTTTGCCAACAGATTTCACTGCTCCCACGCATGAAACAGCAACCAGAGCCGTGCTGCGATTCCTTTTGGATTCCCGATCGCCGGCCTTTCTTTCTACACCCCGTTATTTTATAGTCCCAAATGGCTGATTTTAATTACAGAATCATGTGCTACTCGTATCGAATGCTTTTTTTAAAAAGAGTATGTGTACTTTGCACACTTCTGTGGGAGAGAGGAAGCTGTAACATGAAAAGCGCTCAAAATCTATCTGAAGTAAAGGCCATACTTTTGAGGATGTTTTGTCCATTATCGAGGTAATGGAAAGCGTGAGGATCCATTGACTGTTTGGCACCGGGCAGCGAGGAATTTCACTGCAATAAAAATGTGGTGTGTGAAGATGACAGCAAAAAATTTTGGTTCCTGAGCATGATTACTAAATTGACTTAAGAATAGACCCAAATTTGGCTGCTAAAGCACTAGTCGGTGCAATTTGAGAAAGATCTGTGATGGGTTCTACCAGGCAACAAAGCGTGTTCGAAATGCTCTTGGTTTTTGCTCTCTTTGTTCCACAGTCTCACGTCCGCAGCTTAATATTTTGCTTTTAAATGCCGACTCTTTTTTTTCTCTTCCCTCAAGCTCCTGTTATATATTAAAAAAAAATATATGTGCTGTCTTTTGAGGCAATAATGACACGTAATGAAAAGATTACATGGAGAACAAAGGAAACCCCTGCAAGGCGCACGTTCTCACTCGACCAAGAGACCTGGAGAATTTCTTTGTTTTTTACACATCTGTAAATAGACTGGAATGTTTTTAAGAATATAATGAAATGTCAGATTTAGCTTTTTTCCTTTTATATATTAAAATATATCTTTCCCTCTTTTCTGCTTTTGAAAAATGGATATTTTTGTAGAAATCTAACAGTACAGGACTCTTAAATAACTGTATGTGAGGGACAAAGTGTAAAACTAAAATAAACCAATCTAGGTCGACTAGAAACTGGCTTGGAAAGTTTATTACAGAGAGGGAGAGGGAGCTGAAATGAGGCGGTGGCGTCCTGCTGCTGGCGACACGCGGCGTCGGGCCGGAGCAAACTACGCCCACGTGTGCTCTGAGGCAGAAGTTTGGGCGACGCAAACAGGGGTTTGGTTCAGGTAATCGGACAAGTCGGAGGAGATTTCTCTCTTTAGTCTTGGGCTGTGTGCAGGAAAACACTACTGGTTGCAAAAAGATTTTCAGCTCGCCAAATGCAGAGAATGTATTGAGGTGGCTTTGTTTTCACCAAAATGCATGTTGAGCAGGCAGCCAGCGGGATTCACGTTTGACCGTGGTGTAAAACAAAAAACCCCACCTAACAGTTGGAGATTTAATTTCACATAAAATCAGTCTCCAGTCTCCCTCCCCAGCCCCAAACTTAGGTTAATCCTTTGTATCTGTTGCCCTTAGAGCAGCTGTACAGCACAGCTGCCCTTGTGGGAGCAAGTCTCAAGTTCTGTCTCCGAGTGATGAAGTGTCAGAGGAGACACTTTTTTTGCAAGAAATAGATCAAACATCTGTAACAAGTCACTGCCCATCACGTCCACATCCTTTAATTGGAAGATCACACACTTGCTAAATGTTTTGTTTTTCTTTTAAGTAGTAAATGTGTACAAATAAGCAAGGTTGACTTACAGACCTGAGAAAAGAAAATACAATGAAGAGAACGATTATGCATGAGGCTAAGTGATGGCCCGGAGAAGAGACGTCACAGAATTTTATTTTTTTTTTTTAAGAGAAAAATCACATCTCATAGGAGAGAATGAATAAAGCTGGGTAACATATCTTTGAAAACCCTTCTGCAAGGCCTCATCCCATGACCCCTTATTTTAAGGGGTAAAATTACTTCTTGGAATAGAAAAGAACATGAACGTAAGGTGTATCCAGCCAGACTTGTGATGGGAGGAGGCAGTCGATGGAGTCCCGAGGCCATCTGTCCCGGGGCCCTGTTTCCCAGCACATTCACACGCTGCACATCTCGCGCTTCTCCAGTCGTGTCTGCGCAGTCGGAGCTCAGTGGGGCAGGAGCATCGCGCTGAGCCTGCTGCTCCCTTCTGCTGCCCTCTGGCTCGCCCTGCCCTCTGCATGACTGAGGGTTTGCCAGTTATGCCCTTTTTTCCACACATCTTCCACCCTGAGGTGTCCTAGAATGGAGATAAAATTTCTGAAGGGATCCTAGAATTGCTTGCCAATTTTTCTGAAAAAAAAAAACAACAGGGACCAGGCATCTGGTTTTGTTTGGTGTCGGAGGAAGCCCAGAGCTGTTTAAAAGTGGCTGAAGATGCCTTTTCCTGCAGGAGCTGCCCTGCACAGGCAGTGCCGAGCTCTGAAAACGCGTTCACTAACATTGTGCCTTATTTTTGGACAGGTTATGGGGCTGGATAAATTTGGACGGGCCAAGCTTCAACAAAGTTCGAACGTAAGCGAGTGTTTCCACGTACGAGATGGATAATGCAGCAGGTAGGATTTTCCTGCTCTGGTTATCTTGATACTTATTTTAATGATGTAGATCTGATACAATTATGTTACAACTTGCTTTAAGGTGACTGCCTGAAAAAAGCATGACAGAAAGAGGAGGTGCCTCCAAATCTTTTGCAACAGTAATTATTAACTCCTGCTCCTCAAGTCCTCTCTGGCTTGTAGGTTACAATGACTCTTTGGTTTTAAAAAAGAGCTAAAGCAGGCTTT